AACTCAATAGAGAACGCTATCTACCACTGTGGCGGACACTCAAAAATCTCCTCAGGAAGCACCTCGAGGAATTCCTTCACCACAGGAATGCAGTGAGATCCTCCTGTGTCCCACTCACCAAACCTCCCAACATAACATAACCAATGTCCCTGCTCACAAGGCTCTCCTAGCCCGTAGCAATAAAAGGCGAGGAACTGGTTGTGGAATCACACAGAGACATCAACACCCGCTAGGCACAACAATCAATCATCACACAGTTTCTGGACAACACATCCCTGCCCGGAATGATTTCCAGATTAGCCATCGGCAATCCAATCAGATCTACCGAGAACTCACGGCCGTCCCACTAAAACACGACATCTCGATGTACAGTGGTAGTATCACACTTTCCTCCGGTGGGGGTAGTCAACCGCAACGGTGGAGAAAGCACAAACATGGGCAACTCAAGCCCCACAGCAATCGGGGTAGCAATAAAGGAATGCGTAGCCCCAGAGTCAAATAATACATCTACAGAAGATCCACCAATGTAAGCAGTACCTCTGACAAGGTTCAGAGCTCGGTCGGACTACTGACGATCCAAAGGGTAAACTCGCCCCATGGTAGGTGGCACAACAGGTGCCGCTGTAGGTGGAAGGGGAACCATCTGAAGTGGAACTGCCTGAACAGCTGCAGCTCTTGCCGTCGACGCGGACACTCTCTAGCATAGTGGCCCTTCTTGCCACACTAGAAACAAATAGTCTGGCCGGTAGCACACGGCCCCAGATGAACCTTCCCACATCCCGTGCATCGGGGAGTGGGAGGTCTCACTGAACTCCCCTGAGTGAAAGTCCTCTTGAACTGACTACGCGCCTGCCTAGCAGCCAACTGCTTTCCTTTTCCCTTCCCAGCAAAGGTGGAGGCGGCGGTGGAGGTGGTGGCGAGGAAACTGACCAACAGCAGGACCCGCCCTCATCTACTCCAACATGACCCTCATCATGGTCATGTTTGCCAGCCGGTTCGCCTCAAGAGCATCCTCTGTGGCCTTCTGGTTCTCTTCTCTAGCGGCTTCCATCATTGCCACATTGGCCAATCTAGTGGCCTCCTGCATCTCAACCAATGCAGTCAGGATTGGGTCAGGTTGACCCTCAGCGGTCTCGCGGGTTCTCCTGAAATTTACCATGACTCTGCACAAGTTACACAAATTATGAGTTGAACAGGCCCACGCAATGTGATCTAATGTGCATCATCATAATAAAACTCAGCGGAGCAAACACATAAGACAGACACAACCAAACATCTTAAGTTATTGCAATACATACAGGCTTTTCCCTCGAACCATTGCTCTGATACCATAAAAAGTAACACCCTGTGTTAACCCGGTTTGTTAACATGTCATCGTATTAAGCCACGCTTAATTTAAAAATACGGAATATCTTTTTTCTTTTCAATTATGACGTCATTATCCTTACCAAGTTGAATTACTTAATTCATTTCCAAAACATCGCCTGTATGAATATTGCAAAAGACAACTAACTGAAATACCTCATTAATTAATATCATAAATATGTCTCTAGTCACGGAACTACAACACGTAGACTGGACAACCTGATAGTTTATACAACACAGATAAGCTTTAACAAGACGGAAATCAAAGTGGCATGGACAAACCCCATGCTCACCAAATAAGGCACAAGCCCAACAACAGTCTCAACTCAATAATCATAAATGACAGAAAACATAAACAGCAACCAAGTCCACAACATGCCAGCATACAGCATAATAACATGATAACAGCATAATCTAACTCAGCTCCGGCCTCTTACCGCCCGAGGTCTCAACCCCCGAGTTACCTGAACCTGAAATAAGCGTCCCCAAACGTGGGGTGAGATCTCTAAACAAGAAATCTCAGTAAGACAAGGGGTCCTCAAGGATCTTCCACCCCAAGCTCACTTACATGTGCAATATAAGTTCAAAAGCCATTTAACAGTATAAGTTCCAAAACAGTGCAATGCAGCAGATAATCATGTCATGTGTGTTTATATTATTCTACTGATCAGAGAAGTGCAGGAATACGTCTATTACCCACACAATATCAGCTCATGTTGTACCAGCCCATGTTGTATCCGCCCACAGGATCGCCCCATGGCCTCCTGTGTAGGCGTCACACCACATACATATCATAAATCATTTGCACTTAACAGCTCCATAGCATTTCAATAAAAACAGTACATGAAAACACATCATGCATATAAACCATCCCCCCATGGAACATGGTGGAACCAACAGTGGCTAAACTGAGGACACGAAAGCTTACCTTGTAAGCTAGCTATCCAAACCAAGAGTCCACACCAGCTTAAAGCCCAAACACAGCAGAATCACAATCTGTTTCGGACCAACAATATTATCAATATTTAGGCACAACAAGCATACGATTTAAAGACAACGCCCTTCCTTTATGTTTTACGTCTTTAGGCTTCTCACAAAGCCACAAGCCCTTAATCCCTTGATTCTGACTTACATTAATTATTACAGAAGTTCAACTTCATCAATCTAGGGTTCACTAACCCCCAATAGCCTTTTGTATGAACAGTGCAGCTACTGTTCTTCGAAAACCCAGAATATCCGGATATATGTCGGGGTCATATTCGGATATCAATATTCGGATATCATATCTGGATATGCATGCATATCTGGATATCCATATTCGGATATCTCAAAGCCCATATCCGGATATCAATATCGGGATATCCATATCCGGATATTTCGCGACAGAATGCAGTTTCTGCATTTCGCGAGATATCCTTCCAAAGGTTGGGTTTTTCACCCATTAAAACGTTAAAGCATGCATTTTTACTCTGTTCTAGGTTCATATATTAGTTGGTTACTTTCGCGAGATATCCTTCCAAAGGTTGGATTGAAGCAGTCACCTCGTGCCTGGTTAGTATGAGCCAGATATATACAAGGAGCACAGTAAGCTTCCCATTTTGGGAGTGCTTGAAGAAAGAGTGTGATTTCCTTGACTCTGTCTGTATCCTAAGGTCATCATAACCTTAGTAAACCTTCCAAACCAGGCACGAGGTGACTGCTTCAATCCATACAAAGTCTTTTTTAATCTACAAACTTTATTTTCTCCATTCACAGAATCAAAACCAGGCGGGATTTCCATGTAGACTTCTTCTTCTAACTTACCATTGAGGAAGGCATTCTTCACATCAAATTGATTTATATCCCAATTGTAATAGGCAGCAAGGGATAGCAATACTCTCACTGTATTCATCTTTGCACTGGAGCAAAGGTTTCTTCATAATCAATGTCATAGGTCTGAGTGTAACCTTTGGCGACTAATCGAGCCTTGTATCTCTCAAGAGTGCCATCAGAATTATACTTCAGGACATAAACTCATCTGCACCCTACTGCTTTCTTTCCGTTGGGTCTATCAATAACCTCCCATGTTTTATTTTCTCCAACGCATTCATCTCCTCTTGCATGGCTTGAGCCCAATTTCCATCTTTCAAAGCTTCATGTACTGATTTTGGGATTGAAATAGAATCTAGTGCTGAAACAAAACTTTGTGCTGCACAGAAAGATTAGTAGAGGAAACAAAATGGGAGATAGGGTATTGAGTACAAGAGGGATAGGAGGAACAAGATTTCTTGGAACAAGATCTTTTTCCTTTTCTTAGGGCAATGGGTAAATCATCAGAATCAGTAGTAATGGGTAAGTCATCAGAAGTATTAATATCATGATCAGAAATATGAGATTCGGGACTTACCAGTGGTTCAGACGATTGAGGTTGCTGGTGAGGCAATGTGGGTTGTTTCCTTCTATGATATACCAACTCAGGTGTCACAATCTTCCGTATCTCTGGTGTACTTGATGGATCAGTCACAGGAGGATCAAACACAAGAGGATCAGACACAGACACAGAAGGAACCAAAACAAGAGGAAGAGGTGAAGGAGTAGACACTGAAGATTCAAACTCAAAGAAGGAAGGTGATGAGTTTTCTGGTGAATTATTCTCCCCCTAAAGATGAGGATCTTTGAAAAAAGACTCAGATTCCTGGAACGTAACATCCACAGAAACAAAAAATTTCTGACTGCTAGGGTGATAGCACTTGTAGCCCTTCTTATCAGGAGCATAACCAAGGAAAACACATTTAAGAGCCCTAGGATCTAACTTACTACAATGCTGTTTATGAACATGAACAAAGAAAACACATCGAAACACTCGAGGAGGAAGACTTTGCAAAGTTGGAACAAAAGGAAAAAAAGAAGTCATTGAGTGAATAGGACTTACATTATCAAGAACCCGAGTGGGTAGACGGTTGATCAAGAACGCTGTAGTAAGAATGGCATCTCCCCAATAGCATTTGGGTACATGTGTTTGAAACAGTAAGGCACAAGCAACTTCAAGAAGGTGACGATTCTTTCTTTCAACAACCCCATTTTGTTGATGGGTGTCTACACAAGTAAGTTCATGAATCATACCTTGACTTCGTATAAATTGGGAAAAATAGTGATTAACATATTTAGTACCATTATCTGTCCTTAGTCTTTTGATTTATTTACCAAATTGGGTCTCAACCATTTTATAAAATTGAAAGAATAGTTGTGGTACCTCAGACTTTTCACGCATTAAGTAAACCCAAGTTACACGAGTGCAATCATCAATAAAAGAAACAAACCATTTATTACCAGAAGAATGAGGGACTTTAGAAGGACCCCAAACATCAGAATGAATAAGATCAAAAGGTTCAACACTATTAGTAATACTCGAAGGAAAAGATGCACGATGATACTTAGCAAACTCACAAACATCAAAATGAAAAGACTCAACAGACTTAGATAAAAACAAAGACGAAAATAAAGACTTGAGTAAACTAAACGGAGGATGTCCCAAGCGCTTATGATGAAGCCAAATCAGAGAATCAGCAGTTGACTGGCCATGTGACAGCAAGATGTGATCCTTAACATTAGTTGTGGGAGATTGTGACACCAGATAGTACAGTCCACCTTGCTCTTTAGCACCCCGGATCGTCTTCCTCGTGGCGAGATCCTGAAAAACACAGTGAGTAGGGAAGAAGGTTACAGTGAAATTCAAATCTTTTGTGATTTTATGAATAGAAAGAAGATTAGTAGAAAGTTTAGGGACATGAAGAGCATCTTTGAGATGTAAGGAAGGCTGTAATTTTATGTTACAAGAACCCGCAACCGATGTATGTGAGCCATCAGCTACGACTATTGTATGAGTGCCAATGGTAGGGCTATAAGAAACAAATGAGTCAGCACAACAAGCCATATGATCAGTAGCACCAGAATCAACAACCCATGAATGTTTAAAATCAATACATGAAGTAAGAAAAGAATAGATATTGGAGCTCATACCAGTCATAGCCAAATCACTAGTACCAGATGGCTTACTCAGAGAATCAAATATGGTCCAGAGTCGTTCCAACTCATCTTGACGAAATACAGGTTGGGTCTCATTAGGTGCAGGAGCTATATCAGAAGAAGTAAAATGCACTTGACCACTCATCCTTGCCATCTTTTCTAAGACTTTTTGCTTTCCATGGAGACGAAAGCATAGGTCCTTGATATGACCGGTTCTTCTACAGTAAGAACACCAGCGATCATCTTTCTTGGGTCTAGAAGATGCACCATCAGAAAATTTTGTAAAAGAATTCCCTTGAGAAGAGACATTCTTTTTTGTAGAAATCATAACAGACCCATCAGTGGGTTTAGAGGCAGCGCCATCATGTGATGACAGCATGGTAGATTTATCAGAGTTCATCATAACTCCCCGACGACTTTCCTCCCCCCGAACAGTATTGAAAACAGCAGAAAGAGATGGAAAAGTCTCTTTGCCAAGTATCTGAACCCGAATAGGATCATACTCGGGATTCAAACCAGCAAGAAAATCAAAAATACGTTCATTTTCCACCTCCTTGGCTAAAGTAGTAGCATCTGCAGTACATTGCATCTTCAAACTCTGAAATTGATCAAGTTCAATCCGCAACTCCTTCAAAGTACCATAGTAAGCAGTCACTAATGAGGAGTCTTGTTTCATAGAAAATATTTTATTGCGCAATTCATAGCGCGCAGCCATATCCTGTTTCAAGGAATAAGTTGAACGAACAGTGTCCCAAATCTCCTGAGCAGAAGACAAAAACATACAGTGACGACCCACTTCAGGAGTCATCGAGTTCCATAACCAAGTCATGATAAGGGAATCTTCATTATCCCAAACAGCAAACTTCATGTCACTTTCGCAGGAGCAAGGCCATCAAGATGAGCAATCTTATTGGGACTCTTGATGGTAGTGCGAATAAGCTGGGACCATGACAAGTAGTTTGATCCTTCAAGACGATAGCTCTGATGTAGATTGGGAAGATCATTGTGGCCAAGTGGGGTATCACCAAACTGTGTAGTTTGTGAAACAGTTGACTCATTGTCATTCTCGGCCATGCTGCACTAAAAAAGTTAACAAACAGCAGTAAAATCAACCAAACAGAATATCAAATGAACTCCGATCAGAAAAACAACCACAGATCCAGACAGAGAACAAGGAGACGAGAAGAATGGCGGTGGTCCGAGGCCAAAATAAGGCTGCACACGCCTCCACGCGCCGGTGGAGTTGGCTGCGCGTGGGCTTCACGAGCTGGAGTTTGGACGGCGCGTGGGTTGTCTTCTCCGGCTGAAATTTTTGCACCATGGTCGTCCAGCGAGCGCGCACCTGTCTGTTGGTGGTCTCGGTTGAAAAGTCACCGGAAAGTGGTCCAAACGCGATGACAGACCTGTTTGGAGGTGTTTGTGTAACATCCCGAGCGCTGACGAGGGCGGGGAGTGATCGCCGGTGCAAAGAGGCACGGACAAGGAGCGGCTCCTGACAGGCTTCTAGTGGAGGGTTACATGCATGAATGAATCGAATTGACACCTGAAAGATAGGGATTCCAAAGACTGTGCAGGTGTGAGACTGCACAGTTTGGGATAGCTTATAAGAATTAATTGGTACTACCTATGCTAACAAGATGCATATGCTCCTCAGTAGCCCGGATAGGAAGAACTCCACAGTTAAACGTGCTTGACTTGGAGCAATTCTGTGATGGGTGACCTCCTGGGAAGTTTTCCCGGGAAGTGTGCGAGTGAGGAAAAAGCACACTGAAAAGTCTCGTGTTAGTATGTGGGGATAGTCATTGATTCTTGAAGCGGTCTGGCGTTACAGTTTGCGGCTGAGAAACAGTGTAATCGATGTTCGCGGCTGTAATCGAAGAAAATAACGGTGAACAGTAGTCCTCTTGGTCCAAAAGGTCCCCGAAAAATTTTTCCAGTGCCAACTGATGGCAGCAAGAGGCAAAGAAATCAGGGTTTTTGCTCTAAAGGCAAATAGGCGCGGAAGCAGAGCCCTCAGATCTAGAGCTCTGATACCAACTTGAAAAAGGGTATTCTGATATATTATTAAATTGTAAATCATCTGTACAAAAGGGTTCTCTATTTATAGAGATACAAGACCTAGAATACTTGACCTAATAGGCTAAGTCCAATACAATAAATAACAAATAAATAAATAATAATAATATTTACAACATATATATATATATAGGTAGATCCTTTGACACCGGTGTCAAATTTCAATTTTGACACCTCATCTGAGAGCCGTTAGATAAAAAAAAAATCAACAACTCTGATTTGCAAGCATGTGACACCATTGATTTTTTTTATCTAACGGGTCTCAGATGAAGTGTCAAAATTAAAATTTGACACCGGTGTAAAAGGATCCTACCTCATATATATATATATATATATATATATATATATATATATATATATATATATATATATATATATGGTAAAAATATGTCATTTTAAAGGACACAATTTTGTGTCGTGTTAGACAAAAGGACATCATTTGTGTATATTTTTTTACATTATCTCTCATTCGTAAAATTAGGAAGAGAGAGAAAATTGAGGAAATAAAATATAAAAAATCATCAATTATGCATCGACGTTGTTTTATCTAAAATGACACAAAGTTATTTCTTTTAAAATGACAAATATTTTTCATATATATATATATATATATATATATATATATATATATATATATATATATATATATATATATATATATATATATAGGTATAATGTCTCTCATGTAGGAGATAAATTTTATCTCCTACATACACATAAAAGTATATGAAATCTATGTTTTCTTTTTCTCTCTGTTCTCTTCACCTGATCACACATGAGCCTCACATATTTATATGTGTGTAGGAGATAATTTTATCTTCTACAATATATATACATATATATTAAAATTCATATTTACATACTTAACCCCTTCGACTACGTTGAGCAGTAGGGGGTAATTTCTCTGATGGACCAGTAGGAAGCTTCTGTCCAGTCTCTCGTTCAATCCTCTTCTTGAGCTCTCTAAGTATACGAATTTGTCCCAGCTTCTCGGAGACAACTTGTCCCAATAAATTCCTGTAGGGAATGAAGGTTTTAATCTCTGAAGAATAAGTTTTGACATCCAATATGGGAAAGAAAAACAAGCTACATCAGTCAAAGTTGAAACAGAAATTACAACTTTAAAAGGGTATCTCAATTATTTATAAACTAAAGGATAATCCCCGCTCACTATAACCCCTATTTAGAAGAAAGGAACTGTTGGCAAAAAATGCAAAGTCAGATAGCAATGTTTCACCAACCTTGAGGTTTTAGAATACATGTGTGTGTGAAAATGACCTGCGTCGGAGTACAAATGATATCCACGGGTACATCATGGATTAACAGCTTTTCAACTGGAATATCATCCACCAATTGGCAGTCATGCACTGCGAGGGAAGTTCTCATTATGTTATACACCAAATAAGGAAAATTATAGATTTTACATACGACACAAATAAATTAGTAGAGGGCAAGACTTGAAACAGTGGTAAGGTTGTTTCTCATGACTGGAAAGTCACATTTTCGAGTCTGAGAAAACCCTCTTGCAAAAATATAAGGATCATAATGCAGCATACAATCAATCATCACCCCTATCCACACAAGTTGAAGAGCCTTATGCACAGGGAAATTTACAAGAATAAATTCGTAACTGAGTATGACTGCACGTTAAGAAACAGTATGGAGGGACCATGGAAGATATTGCACAATTAGCATGTCTGTGTTAATGCAAGAAGATTACTTTACTTTCAAGTGCTTCCCCTGCCCCACTATCACTTTCTCAAAACAACAAACGATTATTTTGCGACCCCAGATCCGTTCAACCTAAATAATCCTTTATATTTTATAAAGGTTAGAGAATCATATGTGAAAACAAAAATAATCTAAAAAATCCAAGGTAAATTATTCTCATTAAGGAGAAATTTTTCCTTTTTTGAAAACAATAATTGAGGTTCTATAAACAAGTTTGTCATAACCATGTTTTGAAACATGGAATAAGCATGAATATACATACATTAAATTGCTCTAGCTGTCCAAATTTTGTCTTTGAAATGTCCAAGAGAAACCTTCAAATGAATGGCTAAGGGAAAATGGCAAAGGCAAGAACCAAAATTACCAGAAGTAACAACTGGTGTTGAATCATCGATAGCTCCCATGTACCGCAGCATACCATATTCAAGTTCTGCAAATCCCTGCACTTCAGTCCTCTATTAGTTGAAGGAACAATCAAGTTCACAATCCATTAACAGATTAAAAGGTCACACATCAGCTAAATTAACTATTCCGTACATTCCTATTGGTATATATTGTCAGATAGCACAGTAGGGAAAAAAATCTTTGGGAGGCCTTGCAACTAGACTGTGGTTAGTTTCCCATAGACCTATCAGTTCATTGGCTAGAAAATTTTATAACATTTAAATAAATAGAAAAGTCAATGCAAACTTTTAAACCCAGGATCATACACGTTGCCAAGGAAAGATAATCTAATTTTATTGTTCTGGCCTTTTAATGGATAAGCAAGCAAATGATCTGGAGATTAAACATGAATATAAAAAGTAAAAGACATTTAACTATACCTCTCCCTTTCCCAATCGAGCACCTGTCCTTGGGTCAACAGCAACAGATCCAATAACAATAAGATCTACCTTTATCTTTTCATCTAACCCAATTGGCCGTCCATGTTTGGCAACCCCGACAGAAGTGCAGGCTTCCTTGATGGTACTCAAGGTTAACATATTGGAATCCAGTATAGAGAAAAAACCTGTTCTCAGCCGTGGCTGAGGAGTTAACAACTTCTTTCCATCTGAACAGATATTGAAGAGAGAATTAAAAGACAACCATGAGAAGAAGGAGAAGGAGAAAATGAACCTTAAAATCTCAAACTCTCATTTCATTAGTGGTTGGTCTCTATCAGAATACCACTAAGAAACTTCAACTGAACTAAAACAGAAATTGTGTTCAATTTAATAACATTAATGCAGAAATTAAAGGATAATGTGAAGCAATTGGAGAGGCTTCACTCTCTCCCAAGATCCTAATTCTTCTATTCTGATTCTCGATGCCCTTCTCTCTCATCACCAGTAGGAGTGATAAACGAATCAGGGGCCTTTCAGGGGCTTTTGACTCGGCTCGGCTCAACTCGTGAAGGCCTGAGCTTACATGCCTAATATTGGTTGTTGGAACCAAGTTTAGACTTATATAAAAGCTCGTTTAATAAAAAGGTCTCATGCTCCAATTCAAAAGCTCGGCCTTAGAGCCTCTCAGGCTGGCCTAGTATATTATTTTATTTTATTTTTATATTTTTTATACTACTTGTAATAGCCTTCTCCCTCTCTCCTCAATCCATTTCACCCCATTTTATTAGTTAAAAACACTTTTTAAATGAATTTGTTCTATATTATGCTGTTTGGATATATATTGAATTTATGAATATTTATGGAATCACCAGCGTTATTTAATCTTCCTTCGCTCACGCTGTGCTGTGTTCCCTCATTCTGTTGCAACAAACTAGCTGAGTCATCAATTGTTGAGTCATCAATTGGATCAATGTTGGTTGAGGTCCAAATCCTTCTATGCTTGTCCCTTCTATACACATTGGGCTTGGGCTTGGGCTTGGGCTTGGGTTGGGTTGTATCATATTCTCATTCGGTTTAGTTAGATCATAAAGGGCCAATAACAAACTAAGTCTCGCACTTTCACTTGTCAAAATAGTAAGGCCAATCAAGTGTGAAAATAGCAGCCCCCAACAATCAACAAAATGTAGGTATACTGGTACGAACCTTGAAAGAGCCTCATCTCAAAAGTTAGCTCGTAAGGTAGGAGAGCTCAAAGTCCATATAAACCCCACAGTAGAACCTTATGTTTCTAATATGGGATTTCAAGTCCCACGCTTTACAAATGGATCATAACATCCTACCATGCTCCACTCCAGATGGTTCCCATTCCACCGACAGCGGCACCTGCAGTGCGACCTGCTACCGGTCGTGTGTACACTTTGGACCGTCAGCAGTCGGACCGAGCTCCGAACCTTGTTAGAGGTACTGTTTCCATTGGTGGAATTACTGTTGATGCTTTGTTTGATTCCGGGGCTACGCATTCTTTTGTTGCAACCCCAATTGTTGTGGGGCTTGAATTGCCCAGTGCTGTGCTTTCTCCACCGTTGCTGGTGACTACTGCCACCGGAGAAAAGTACGATACCTCCACTGTACATCGAGATGTCGTGTTTCAGTGAGATGGCCGTGATTTCTCGGTAGATCTGATAGGATTGCCGATGGCTAATTTGGAGATCATCCTTGGCATGGATTGGTTGTCCAAGAACTGTGTATTGATTGACTGTTGTGCCAAGCGTGTGGTGATATCTCCATGTGATTCCACAGCCAATTCCTCGCCTTATATTTCGTTGCTGCAGGTTAAGAGAGCCTTGAGAGCAGGGGCATTTGGTTATGTCATGTTGGGAGGTTTGGTGAGTGGGACACAGGAGGATATCACTGGCATTCCTGTGGTGGGGGAATTCCTCAAGGTGTTTCCTTAGGAGATTCATGAGTTTCCACCACAGCGGGAGATAGAGTTCTCCATTGATTTGTTGCCTGGTGTGGGGCCTATTTCATTAGCTCCATATCAGATGTCGCCACCGGAGTTGGCGGAGCTGAAGAAGCACATTGAGGATCTTTCAGCGAAAGACTTCATTCGATCGAGCGTGTCTCCATGGAGAGCACCGGTCATCTTTGTGAAGAAGAAAGACGGGACTATGCGATTTTGCACCGACTACAGGCAGTTGAACAAGGTCACGATCAAGAACAAGTATCCCCTTCCTCGTATTGATGATCTGTTAGATCAACTCAGGGGTGTTTGCGTTTATTCGAAGATTGATCTCCGGTCCAGATACCATCAGATTCGAGTGAAGCCGGAGGATGTCCCTAAGACCGCGTTTCGTTCGAGATACGGTCATTATGAGTATCTGGTGATTCCGTTTGGACTCATCAATGCGCCCGCAGTGTTCATGGATTACATGAACAGGATTTTCCAGCCGTACCTGGATCAGTTTGTGATCGTCTTCATTGACGACATTCTGATTTACTCCAAGACTGAAGAGGAGCATCCGGAGCACCTGAGGATTGTTTTGCAAGTACTGAAGGAGAAAAAGCTTTATGCCTAAGCCTTCGAAATGTGAGTTTTGGCTCAATTCAGTTAAGTTTCTTGGGCATGTGATTTCATCTGAAGGAGTTGCAGTGGATCCCAACAAGATCGAGGTCGTGCTAGATTGGGAGAGGCCCAACACGGTTACCGAACTTAGGAGTTTCTTGGGTTTAGCAGGTTACTACAGGAGGTTCATCAAGGGATTCTCCACGATGGTTCTACCATTGACTTGCCTTACTCGGAAGGAAACTCCGTTTGTGTGGACTCACGAGTGTGAGGAGTGCTTTCAGGATTTGAAGGAGAGATTGACAGCTTCACATGTGTTGATCCTGATCCTGAGGAGCAGTTTGAGCTTTACTGTGATGCTTCTAGAAAGGGGCTGGGCTGTGTTTTGATGCAGACTGGTAGAGTTGTTGCCTATGTTTCGAGGCAGTTGAAGCCTCATGAGGAGAATTACCCGACTCATGATTTGGAGTTGGCTGCTATTGTTTTTGCTTTCAAGATTTGGAGGCATTATCTGTTTGGCATGTAGTTTGCCGTTTTCAGTGACTACAAGAGCTTGAAGTATCTGTTTGATCAGAAAGAGTTGAACAGCGACAAAGAAGATGGATGGAGTTTCTGAAGGACTACGACTTTGAGTTGAAGTACCATCCTGGCAAGGCCAATGTGGTAGCCGATGCTCTGAGCCGGAAATCCGTGAGTCTATCCAGTTTGACGATGGGTGACTACGATGTCATTGAGAAGTTTCGAGACCTGAAGGTGACTTCCTTGTTTAGGGGTCCACTTCTCGAGATGGAGACTGTGAGAGTCAAGAATGAGCTAATGGAGAAGATCCAAGATGCACAAGTGCAGAGAGTGTGTCTGGACTACGTGAAGAACCAAGACGGTGTGTCTTGGAATGAGGATGGACTTCTGATGTTCCAGAAGCGGATCGTGATTCCTCGAGGTCCTTTGACCGAAGAGGTGATGTCAGAAGCCCATAAGGTCCAGTTTACTGTCCACCCTGGTGCGACAAAGATGTATCAAGACTTGAAGAGAAATTTCTGGTGGCCAGGCATGAAGAAGGACATTATTGTTTTTGTGTCCAAGTGTTTGTTTTGTCTGGTAAACTTCAACCTCTTGAGATTCCGGAATGGAAATGGGAGAGCATTTCCATGGACTTCGTGGTGAGTTTGCCGAAGACTCAGGCTGGCTGTGACTCTATATGGGTCATTGTGGACAGATTGACAAAGTCTGCCCACTTTCTTCCGGTAAAGGTGAGCTTCACTAGAGAGCAGTTGCCAAACTGTATGTTCGCGAGATCGTGAGCCTTCATGGGGTGCCCGAGAGTATCATCAGTGATAGGGACCCGAAGTTCACATCTCGGTTCTGGGAGGCGCTGCAGGGAGCTTTTGGGACTCAGTTGAGACTGAGTACAGCCTATCACCCTCAGACTGATCGACAGACTGAGCGGACCATCCAGACCTTGGAGGACATGTTGAGGGCTTGCACTTTGGAGCAGGGTTCAGCATGGGATAGGTACCTGCCATTGGTTGAGAATTTTCCAGGCTAGCCTGGGCATGGCACCCTACGAGGCGTTGTATGGTAGGAGGTGTCATACTCCTACCTGTAGCTCTGAGGTTGGAGATCGTGAGTTGTTCGGCTTGGACTTCGTCCAAGATACCACCCTGCAAATCCAAATGATCAGGGAAAAGCTGAAGCAGGCGCAGAATCGCTAGAAGAGTTACTACGATGTCAAGCATCGTCCACTAGAGTTCAGTGAGGATGAGCACGTGTTTGTGAGACTTTCACCTGTCACCGGTGTTGGTCAGGCACTCGGAGTGAGGAAGCTGAGTCCACGATTCATTGGGCCATACCAGATCCTTCATAGAGTAGGACCTGTTGCCTACCGGCTTACCTTGCCTCCAAACTTGGCCAACATCCACAACGTGTTTCACGTGTCTCAACTTTGGAGGTACATAGCGCACCCTTCGCACATGGTGACCTGATGATGTGGAGGTTCGGGAAAACTTAAAAACTCTCGTCGGACCACTCAAGATTCTCGATCGTGGCGAGAAGAAGCTAAGGAGCAAGATCATTCCGATGGTCAAAGTGCAATGGTCAGGAAGAACTCCTGAGTAGTGTACCTGGGAGCGAGAGGACGAGCTTCTCCGGCAGTATCCCGATTTTCGAGATAGGTATATTTTGATTTTGAGAACAAAATCCTAAAAAGGTGGGGTGAATGTAAGAACTCGCATCGTTAATTAAGGAAATTAGTTAGATAATTATGAGATTAATGAGATAATTCCATAATTGACCCTAATAATTATGAGAAGACTTGCATAATTATAGAGAGTAATTAATAATGCTGAAAGTCGCTTTTCGAACGAAAAGTGCAGATACCGATTCTGCTCCACGGTATAAGTGCGTACCGATGAAGTATCCCGGAAAATTATAATAAGTGCATGAATATTCCTAGAATAATATATAGGACTGCGATTTCAAGTTTCAAGTTAAAATAATGAGAACTGGTGCCAAAACTGATACTGGCTATGTAAAAGCGCGTACCGGAAAAAGTACTGCGAAAAATAAAATAAAAATATGACAAATCCTAGAAAAATGGCTAGGTTCAGAATCCCAAGTTTGGGGTTAAAATGATAAGCGTAGATTTTAATGCTAATACTGCGCGATTAAACTTAAGCGCGCCTATAAATACCCATGGGCACATGATCCTAGGTCAGCTCTTCTTCTACGTAGCATTTTCTGAACCTAGGGAGGCATCCACCTTCTTCCATCTTCTCTCCTCCATTGAAGCTCCAAGAGAGCACATTTCCACTTAATTCCTTCACCAAAGTTGCTTATAAGAGTGTGCTCTAGCCATGGGTGGGTAAAAGTCCAGCCATTTATGAGTTGTGGGTGTTGTGGTGAGTGAGGGAGCTGCTGACTTGGAGGTTGTGAGGTGTGGGAGCCATCTCCATGCCATTTTGAGCTTCATGGTGCCATTTTGATGGAGAAAGATCCAACCTTGTGGTACATTTTCGTGCTCTTGCAAAGTCAGAACCTTTGAGCCTTGTTAGAGAGCTCCAAGAGCCTATCTTTCTGCTGAGTTTGAGCTCCATAGGTATACCTTGAACATTCTCTTTGAAATTTCATGAAAATAGCTTGTTTATGTTATGAAATGAGATAACTTTAATCATTCAAGCTTAGGGTTGTTAATCTAGGGTTAATAAGTGTTAATGAACATCTGTTTTGGGTCAAAACCGAACCTTGGATCATTGGGAGCCATTTTCACTTCGGTTTATGCAGAAAAATTCTGCAGAAAATTGTTCCGCCCGCGTAGTAATCGATTACTTTTGGTTGGTAATCGATTACCATGTTCAGTAACCGATTACCCTGTTTTGTGATAATCGATTACCATGTGCAGTAATCGATTACCATGTCCTTGGTAATCGATTACCCCCTGTGAAAATGACCAGAAACCAGTTTTATGCGTGGAAAAGTCCCCATTTGGGCTTGATGGCCTAGGAAGTTGGTGTTACTGTTGGGAAACAGTGATACCTTTAATTGAGGGACTTAATGCTTGATAATTATGAACTAGAAAAGATGTAATCGAATAACGAAATGTTGTCATAATGAAATGAACCTTTAAAGTATGGTTATTGATGATACTTCTGATATAAACGGATTGTGATCGTGCTGTTTGTGGGCTTTGAGCTTGTGTGGACTCTTGGCTTGGATAGTTAGCTTGCAAGGTAAGCTTTCGTGTCCTCGGTTTAGCCATTGTGTGGTTCCACCATACCCCATGGGGGAATGGTTTATATGCATGATGTGTTACATGCTTTGATATTTGAAATGCTGTTGAGCTTTATGTGCAATTGCTTATAATATGTATGTGTTGTTCCATCTAAACAGTAAGCCTGAGTATGTGGCGTCATACAAGACGGTGATTCCGTGGGTGGGTGCAAGTGGCGTCTTGCACTAATGTGGGTAATAGACGTATATAAATCTTGCATTTCTCTAGCCAGTAGAATAGTATTGACACACATGACATGATTATCTGCTGCATTGCACTGATTTGGAACTTATATTGATTATCTGTTTTAGAACTTATATTGCACATATAAGGAGCTTGGGGTGGAGAGATCCTTGAGGACCCCTTGCCTTACTGAGATTTCTGTTTAGAGATCTCACCCCACGTTTGGGGCGCTTATTTCAGGTTCAGGTAACCCAGGGGTTGAGACCTCGGGCGGCAGGAGGCCGGAGCTTAGTTGATTGATGTTTACCTGCTTATTTTGATTATGTTTGGATGCTGGTTATGTCTGTTGCTATTATGCTATTAGCTTCATTTTGTGATTTATTGAGCTGAAACTATTGTGGGCTTTGTTGCCTTATTTGGTGAGTATGGAGATTGTCCATGCCACTCTATGTTGACTTTGCTGCTTTAGAGTTGAGTTGTATTAATGTATCAGGATTGTGATCCGGACTACGTGTTGTAGTATCGTGATTTTAGAGACTCATAGTTATTTATATATTGAGGTATTTCAGTTAGCTGTCTATTTGCAATTTACATACAGGCAATGTTTTGAAAATGATTAAGTAATCAAGTTGGTAATTGATAATGACGTCATAATTGAAAAAAAAAAGTTATTCCGCAATTTTAATTAAGCGTAACTTAATACGATGACATGTTAACAAACCGGGTATACACGGGGTGTTACACTAAGTGAAGAGTATATAAGTGGACGGACCCATGAACCCAATGCCTTAAGGTTTTGGGTTGAGATGTGGTGTCGGACCCACTTGGTGTACTTGGAGTAACTTGGCTCATTGGTGGTGATCCCCCGCCACGGACTTTTTCTAAACCCGCTTGACATTCCACTTATCATGATCATACATTTTCTTAAAAAAAATTTACTCTCTTGCTATTCCCCAGCTCCCTATAATACTAATACGTCTCAAAATGTGAAAATTAGAAACAAAATCAACAAGGCACCAATCACACAACATGTACATCGATAACAGTGCCCCTCCCCACCCAACACACACACACAAACTCCAAATGAAGTACCTGACCTGAGAGAGTGAGAAACCTGACTTGTTTCTGAGGAGAATCCGGATTAACCTTCACACACTCTGCAACCCGAAACACGTCTAGCTCCCTCATCTGCAAAAACCCACATTAAACAACTCTACTCAAATTCCAATTAACACACCCATTTGTTTCCCGTTCTACCCCAGCACACCCCGTCAAACATTCACACTTTCCCCAATAAAGTGAGACCTTGAGAAATAAGTTTTGATACCAATGAATAACTAACCTTTTATACAAAGGTTGTGTTATATTATTTTTTTTGAGTAAGCAAGGCTGAGTTATATTAATCTAGCCACATAATAGAAAATACTCATGAGATATTTTATAAAATTTAAAATCCAATTATTTCATTTAACTATTTTTTTTTAACATATAGCTCATACTCCAAAATATAAGTAAATGTCAAATATCAATATGAATGTCCACCTGGACGGATCTCAAATTTGGTATATATAATTATTAAAAAATGAGTTATATCAATCCTTTGATCTTCGGTCAGGTTGAGAGAATACCAACCATTATACCAAGGTTATATATAATCATTATAATAACAAAATATCACACAGTTGAATTAATGAAATTAATATTATATGCGGATAGAAAAGCTCAACTAATAGATTACAAATTTACAATCCTAAGCCACTGGATTTGCTCTAGTGGTGAGGGATTTGTATAGGTTGTATTAGATTATGTATTCAATTCCCACATGTATCCAAAAAAAAAATAGATTACAGTCCTTAAATGTGCAAGTGGAATCAGCAACTAAATAGATAATTTGGGGTGTGCATGACAAAGTTATCAGAAACGTTTTTTTCCCCGTCTGTTTTTAGTCTGGAAAATAGAAATGGTAAGAAATAATGATTTATAAAAAATAAAAAAAAATTGCTGTTCAAAAGAATGATAAAACACAAATTGAAAGAAATAAAAAGCAATTTAGTAAATACTTTCTTTTTCCTTGATACATTATTTATTAATTACAGTGTTATCAACATAAAATTCACATTATTTGATTAAAACACTATTTATTAAGGGAGGCGGTTATATTTACCATTATTTTAAGGTTACCATTCTTATCACGTGATTGGTTATTGTTAGATTAATTTAAAATCAACGGTGGTTAATTTTTCCTTTTTTTCGACTGTTGATTTCAATTTTAATCTAAGGATAACCAAAATCAGGGAGCAGAAGTGATAAGCCCAAAATGGTGATAAGCATATCATTCCCCTTAATTAAATACTCTTTCTTTTACTCTTCGCACATAAATAGAACAAAAACTTCCTAGCAGAAATGAAAACAGAATCATCTTCATGTACACCCTTAATTTCACTACAAAAATGTAATACTAAAAAGTACAATAAGTTATTTAAGGCCTAAACCTACGAGATTTAATTAATGCATTAAGGTGAGCCTTACCTTTTCAGCAGCAAGAGAAGCACCAACGAAATTGGGAATCCGGTGGTGAACGGGTCGTGGGTTTTGGGCAAAGTTGTGGGCTTCCATTGTATCCCATATTCTCTTTCGGATTACCCATTTCCAAGCTTTCGGGTCATCTCGTAGGGAAGCCTCCTCCGCCGCCATGGCATGACGGGCGTCGGCGTCGAGGGCGAGCCTCTCCGCCTCGAAAGCCGACTCGTCGAAGGCCTCGTTGTTGTTCTTGTTTTGGGCAATGGTGGCTTCCAGCTTGAACCACCTGCGAGGATTCGAGACAGAACGAAGTTGGGAGCAGGTTGTGTTCAAGAGAGAGAATGTTTTCGAGTTGTTGTTGCTGAGCATTAATGGACATGATAAACGTAGAGTATGTGAATCCATTTTAGGACAACGTCGGGTTTGAAATTATGGTTGGTTAGAACCTCAACTTGAAAATAAATAAATAAAATATTTTCGTCATATTTTATTACGCAGCTATATATTATCAAGTACGAATCACCATACTTCAAAAAAGTCTAACAAATCTTACCAACACTTTAATAATCGTTGTAAAAACGCAAGAAATATTATAACTTGCGTTGCGTTCTAGATTCATTATATTACAATTACGATTTTATTAAATTTAATATAAATATTTAAGATATTTTATATTTCTTTACAAAATTGATGAGTATTATAAGTTTATCTTTATTTTTTTGTTAAATTATTGCATATTAAATATAATACATAAATTAAAAATATTATATAATATCAAAATATGTCTTAATGTGTCAAAATTTAACATCTTTTAAAATTAACATATCAGAATATCGTGTCGTATCCCATATCTCATATCGGCGCAACATAGGTTATATAAATGTGCCAGTAAAAAGTGTAAATTTTGTTAGTTTAATTCAAATTCCAAAGTAACATGTGGATACTGTAATAGGAATAAATCTTTGATCCATCGTATATACACAATTGAGTATATCTTTTTTCCAACTTTTTTTCCAAAAGAAAAAGCTTTTTTAATGTGACTTTAAAAAAAATTCAAAAGTGGTGAAATTTTTTTCAAAGATAGAAAAAAAATATATCGAGTTAAGTATATTTAATATACCAAAAATTTGTTCAGTAATAGATTACAGATTACATAACACCAACGGTACAAAGGGGCGTTCAACGGTGTGCAGAAGGAAAAGTTCATTCTTATGTAATTTTAATATGATCATATCATAGAGAAAAATCCTAAACATAAAGAAATGAATATTGGGTGATAAAAAAATAAGAGAAAAAATATTGGAATATAAATTTATAAAATTATCACAATTTGTTCATTGATTATTAAGATTCTTCCACGTGATATAATTATATTAAATAATATATGAGGGGAATCACTTTCGTGCATAATAATAGTTAAGCATATACATTTTTTTTTTATTTTATATGCTGACCTACTCTAATTTGTTATTAGTAGATGCTGTGAAACTCATTGGATGGATCCAAAACATTAACAAATAGCATCTAAGAGACTAAATTATATCTTTACTTTTATTTATTTGGCGTTAAAAGCTTGCAATATTTGTTCAAAATTATCATGTCAAAATTATAAAAGTTATTACTTGTGTTGCTTTAATCTGCGAAAATTTCTGTCTGTACAAAATAGATGATGAACTTGTTAGAAAGCTGATAACTAGTAAACTTTTTAGCAAACTGCGAACAATATTGTATAGACTTAAATAGGAACCATAATCAGAAGAAAAAAAATATTATAATTTGTCAAAATTTAAAGATGATTGTGAAACAAGTCAAAGTTGTTAGAAAGTTGATAACTAGTAAACTTTTTAGCAAACTTCGAACAATATTGTATAGACTTAAATAGGAACCATAATCAGAAGAAGAAGAAAATTATAATTTGTTAAAATTTAAAGATGATTGTAAAACAAGTCAAAGTGACACGAATAACTCATGAATTCAAGAATCAATAACAATGTTAACTCATTGTCCCAATAGAATTTTGCTCTGTAGTATTTCCCATAGAATAATGCTTCTAGCATGTCAGATCTAAAATTTTGAAGACTATATCAGGGTATATATAATTAAGTACGAAATTCACTTACATAAAAAGTAAGTCTTTCAGATGCACCATTAAAACCTTTAAACCTAGGCATACATACCATTAATCACGATAGACAATGCCTATGCAAGAATTCTTGCAACAGGGACACAGCCCTTAAGGGCTCGTACTTTCCTTTCTTTCATTGGAGGTTGAGCTTCCTGTTTATAGACACAGGAGACCGAGTGGAAAATGGGAATCTCAGAGTAGAAGAAATCATGAACATGTTCTCAATCCATTACATGCAAGGAAGAAAGATATATGTAGCTAGATGAGAGTTACTAATCACCATCGACATCACATTTTTATCCCAAACTAGTTAGCGAGAGTACAGAGAGACCAATAATAAACCAAAAACAAATATTTAGCTTCTTGTTTAGTGGGACAAGAAAATTTTGATATGGATTGAGAATACAACAGAGAGGCCTACTACTTAGCCTGAATTACAAAAACATATACAACAATTATAAAACCACAAGCCAATCCCTCAACTCTGAAAAAGGTAGTCATTTTCCCCTTTCAGTTCTTCAAGACTTTCATCTATCTGCAATCATAAATCTTGCCCCACAACATTATGTTAGCAACCTAAAGATCTAGTAGAGGCAACCGTGATGAGAAGACAAAAATGATTGAAAGAGAAAACGTCAAGAGCAGTTTTTATAAGTAAACTAGCAAGCAAAGAGACACCATTACAAGACAATGAAGATGGCATTATCTGCATAAATATTTTCCTTCCCAGATTTAGAATTCCTTGTCCCTAAAGACTGCTTTCCCTTAAGTCCTTACCAAAGCCTCAAATATTTTGCAACTGCGAAAAGGAGATGCGGATAACTGAGCCAGAAAGTGAGCTTGCATGCTTGCACACAAGGGCTTCAGTAGCCTGCTCCTCAGTCTCAAACTGAACAAGAGCCTGCTTTTTACCATTCATCTCAAAGACCTTGCTGTTGACAATGGTTCCATGCTCCTCCAAGAGGCTTACAATCTCCTCTTCAGTGATGTCTTGTGGGAGGGTGGACAAGTGAATCATCTTGGTCGGTGAGCAGCAATACCGATAGTTTTTAGCAGCATTACGATTGAATCGATTGAGATTTGAATTCACGTACTCATGTGTATCAGCACCTTGGGTTATGTTTGGATGCTTTGAGAAGTTGACCTCCAATCGCTTCCCAAACAACATGGCTCCCTGTATTTCAAATTGAAATGATTTTAGTGACCAGCTTAACACTAGAGCAGAAGAAACACACATTAATTTGCAGGCCACAATGATAATAAAGGTAGAATAAATATATCAAAGAAACCCAAATACTTTTTAGATGACTAATGGATCCAACACGGATACTGTGTAATGTGCACTCTCACATCATCTCAATGCAAAGCAATCCAGTCTTAATGAAACTATTCTCCATTTTCTACTTTCTCAAATTATAATGTTTAATTTATTCAATATTTGATTGCATTCGAAAATATTAGCTAATTGACTAGAAGCCTTGACACAATAGACTTGGTGTGGTCACCGTGACCCAAAGATTACATGTTCGATTCATGGAATCAGACTCTTGCAAATGGAATACTATCTAATATAGACCCACACAACAGATTTAGTGGACCGTGCACATAGCAAGAGCTTTATAACATCAGCTTGTCTTTTTTTAAAGAACAAAAAAATATTAGCTAATTAGATATTACAACCATAGTTTTTATCAACCACGTGTTTAATGCCACCATCTCAAAAATATGGATCAATAGCAGTCATTTGAAAGAATCGATATTGCATGCCAAAAAACACCAGTAAAATCAATAATGAACCTAGAAAAAGTCATGCACACATTTTTAGCAGTAAATGACTTTTGAATAAAAAGTAGAGATAAAAATATCATCTCACTCTATAGGACAGAATTAATTTAAAGGATTCCTAGAATAAAGTACAAGATTTTCTACACTCCCTCTCAAGGTGGGATGTATAGATTGATCATTCCCAACTTGCATATCAAATCTTCAAAGGTTAGTTTGTGTCAGATTTTGGTAAGAATATACTCTACGGTGGGAATAACTGTTATACACACACTTCCATCATCCAATTTTTCCTTGATGAGATGGTGGTCAACTTTCACGTGCTTTGTTCTATTATGATGAAAAGGATTATGAGAAATATTGACTGCTTCGTTGTTATCCCAATACAGCCTTATTTGTAGAGAATAGGAGATCATCAATTCATCAAGAAGCCTTCATAAGCATATTCCCTCACAAACACCATGAGCTAATCCTCGAAATTCTGCTTCAGCACTACTCCTAGCAGCCACTATTTGCTTCTTACTTCTCTTGGTTACCAAGTTTCCCCACACTATTTGTTAGGACCCATTTGCAAGGAGGTACGAAACTTGGAGTCCCACATTGATTGTATGAGCAACTAATGTGGGGTTTATAAGGCCTTGGGCACTCCCACCCTTTGAGATAGCTTTTGGGGTGGTGCATCCCAAGGTTCGTATCAAATGATATCAGAGCCTTCTACTATGTCTCCCGGTTGCAATTGAACGGCGCGGGTGGTGACGCCAGCATTGCAGTGTTCGCCCGAGGCTAGTAAAAGACTAGCGCAAAGCCAGCCCGCGTGGGCGCCGGAACTGCGGAGCGTGGTGGAATGTTAAGACCCATTTGTAAGGTATGGGACTTGGAGTCCCACATTGATATGGGCAACTAATGTGGACTTGGACTCCCACCCTTTGAGCTAGCTTTTGGGGTGGTGCATCCCAAGGTTCTTATCACTATCCTTCGATAAACCTGTCCAATTTGCATCAGTTTAGATTTCAACCATACTTTACTCCCCCTTTTTGAAGTACAATCCCCTACCTAGCGTGCTCTTAAGATACCTTAAGACCCTATAGATTGCATCAAGAAGCTTCTTCTTAAGCGAATGCATAAATTGCTTGACCAAACTAACTATAAAAGCAATCCACCTCTTACCTATCTTTAATGCCTAAGTCAACATTAGGCTCCATGGGTGTCTCGGTTGGCTTACATCTCAGCTGACAAGAGAACGGGGAAGGACATTGGCTTTGCTGTATTAGAGGAGAAACTCTCAATAGATGAAGATAGAGCGTTTGATGATGCTTGCTGGAAGCTTCCCCTCCTGGACATTGAGCTGATTTCTTTTACTTCTTTTCATCTCATTTCTAAGTTGTACTAGTTGTACTTGACTTTGGAGACAATGCTGCTACTTTTAGTATCTTGCTTTGTAGTTATGAGCAAAGCTTTTTGTGATTATATGGATAAAGTACCCATTGTTGTAGCACTATCCTGGATGCTTTTGTCAATAATTTCAATTTGTTTAATATTGTTCTTATTGAAAAGCTTTGCATATTTACAGGGCATATATAAGCAAGGTTAAGTGGTTTTGATTTGTTGGAAAGTAATTGAATCTAGACTGATATTGAGAAGTGCGAGTTGGTTGGGTTGTTCAGGACTTAATTTAGAGGCTTTTTAGCACATCTTTTTTTAAGCTAAAAGCTATTTTTAAGCTAAAGTTAAAAACAAAAAAGAGCTTAAAAAATAAAGCTAAAAACTGATTGGTTATTATATAAAGTTGTTCTGATGGTTTTGAAGAAGGAAAAATAAAATAATTTGTTATCAGGATGGATTATTAGGGTAATGGATAAAATTTATAAATACAAGTTTAAAATAAGGGTAAAACTATAAAATAAATATTACGACTCCAAAAAGCTGGCATACATATTAAAAAAAAGTTCCTCTTAGGAGCTTTTAGCTTTTTTTTCATTATAACAAAAAAGCTCTTTATGATAAGAGCTTTTATAAAATTATGTTTGGTTAAGCTTCGGCTTTTAAGGAGAAGAGAAGCTAAAAATAAGACATGCCAAATAGGCACTTAGTAAATCACAGGAATGGATTTACCTCACATAACCTATTGGAAGCAGCACTTGAATTGCTTTTTCGCTTTCACTTTTTCATAGGAATATGCTAAAATTAGAATCGGAAATATTAAATGTAAGTTTGTTGGAAAAACTTGCAACTCTTAGCGTTCTGGTTACTGGTTGATGTTGATGTTGATTTAGCAATAGCTATAGCATTTCTGGCAGCATTTGCACTAATGGGAAAATTGATGCCCAAACCCTTCATTCTTTGATTTCTTCATCAACTTTGGTCATTTAGTGCTTATTTTTACTGGTTTACACCTTCACGCAACGCTTCCAACCATCCATTAATATATTTGTTTTACATTCTTCAAGCAACCACTAGCGAGATGATTTCATTGGACATACTTTGTTAATTTTCTCTGTGGGATACTGGGATAGTACTCTTACTCATCATACATTAGTTATTGATAACAAGTTTTGGTTGTTATTTACACGCAACACAACAAAATGCCATCAGAACTAGCAAGGAAAAACAAAAGACAGAAAGTATAGAAAAAGTCGGCAACAGGAGAAGATGAAAGGAAGGCAGAGCAGAATTAGAATAACAGCCCATCAGGCACAGGGGATAGAAGAATCTGGCAGAAAATTGAGAAACCAAACATGAAAGAAAGCACCACAAACAACAAGGAAAAAGCACCAAACCAGCCTCTGAAAACCCTGCACCAACATCAAACATCGCTGAAAAACTGCCAGCAAACACAGATCAGGCCAGAAACTTCCCTAGACGCCAGCACTCAGGCCTTATTGAGGCCTCCCACATTCACCAGATCCAACCATTGAAGAAACCCACACGCACTTAGGAAGCACAACCCAGGGTGTCGGGTGATTAGCCACCACGGGAAGCATCCCCACACGTAAGGGCTGCTGCCATCGGGAAAGAGGAGGGGTGGAGCACAAAGAGAAAGGTAGGAAAAAGTGATGGTTTTCTCCAAAAGTTTTTTTTTTTTTTTCAGCAGCAGAAAGGACATAGCTTCTTCACTATTAGGATAAAGACCGAATTTGATTTCAAAGGTAATCAAAAGAGAGAATATACAAATAGTTCTATGAACTCAAGACTGCAAAAAGAACAAGCCCTTCAAAGTAGATGACACCAGTACTTAGGTGAAGTACAAGTACTACTTGTACAAGCCCAAGCCCAAAAACAGTAAGACTAATAACCCTAATATCTTCTAACGTAAATAACAAATACACTGATTATCTCCAGGTACAACTATAACAGACAACAATAACTTCTCACATTAGTAAAGATACCACGAGATCAAGTCTAAAGATTCATAATCAGCAAGGTATACATGAAACAAACCTTCAGAAAGTGTACTGCCAATTCAGCTTGGAAACCATCTCCCATCTGGATAAGTGCATGATCTGGTTTATTTCGGAGAAGTTTAATTCTGACAATGTTCCCATAAATGGAGAACAAGTTGAATAGTTTATCCTCATCTATTCTCTGAAATGAACAAATTTCAAGCCAAATATTCAAAAAAAGGTAAAGTACTTTCTAGCAGAAGGCAGAAATTTCAAGTCAACATACTTACATCGGGATCGAGATTTGCAACTAGAACTGTACACCTGTCATTTGTTCCAGTTATTCCAGGAGGTAAACCTCCCCCAAAGGCAGCTGCAATTGCTGCAGCATTGGCCATCTATAATTCAAAACAAATTAATAAGTATGAGTTAGGATTAGCTTATTTTGTATTCAAAATTGCTTATAATCAATATCTTACTAAAAAACCACTCTCCGTTAAACCCGACTGGCGAGCGTGGGGTGGAGGAAATCCTTGTACGCAGTCTTACCCTTGCATAATTGCAAAGAGGCTGTTTTCTAGATTCGAACTCATGACCTTTCAGTCATAAAAGAACAGTTTTACCACTGTTCCGGTTCGCCCCCTTTTAATCAATATCTTACTAAGAAAAAAAATTTGAGCTAAACAAAACATGCACTAAATATAAATGAAGAAAAGAAGGTTCACTTACATGCATATGAACAGTCATATTATAAACAAAAAAGTCATAGTAGTAATGGGTTCATAATATAATGTCATCTATCACAAAATGGAAAAAAACTCCCGCACACTTCACAAAGGAAAAAGCCCAGCAAATTCCTCCCTCTCCCAATCAAAACCTTAATTTGAATAAAAACAAAAACCAAATAAAACATAAAGCCAGATCATGAATTTATTTTGCTAAAGATAGGCAAACTCAAATTCTGACAGTTAGTCGGCTACAATAAGGAAAACATCGTATTTAGCACATTCAGAATTTTGAAAGAATTAAAAATTAAATAAAAGAGACACAAACCATTAGACATCTCAAATGCTACTTTTCATAAAATGCAAACCGATAAAAAGTTCCTCATATATTCAACTGTGCATTAACAACCGCTATTGGAGAGTTCAACTTAGCTTGAAAAGTACCCACCTGTGAGAATCCAACTGTAAAAAGAAAATGAAAAATATTAGTACATTATAAATTAGCACACTAAGACAAATTAAGCAAACCAACCAAAGCAATTTAAAATATTTCACACCTGCTCTGGCTCCAGAACCTTGAACCCCATACATGTTTCCTGCATCACCATATCCAGACTATTTCATAGAAGATGAAGGATGAAAGAAACAAAAAAAAAAGCATTAGAATGGACTTGACAAAGATCAACAAGAAGATTTGGTTCATAAATAGTTAAAGTAAAGAATCACACAGAACATACTTGTGAAGATCGGCCTTTCTGCTCTGTAGGCAAATTTGGGTTTGTGAAATCCCTGTGGAACGTGAGGAATAAACTCAGCAACAATGAATATGATGTTAAAAAAGGGATTGAGAAGTGAAAAAAGAAAAAAAGAAAAAAGAACTGACTGAATCACCTTGAACGATCATTGTTGTAGTTCACTTGTAGTTCATCAAGGCTGCAATCAACATGAATTAATGTCCAAGAATAAACGAAAAGACACAAAGATGGAGGGATACAAAATGGGCCAGCACAGTAGCATAGCATAAGTCTCTAAATCACGAAAACATTATTTGATGAAATTGCAGTAATAAATTTAACCTACTTTGAGAACTGAATGTCTAGCTGACAGCAACCATCATAAATATTGCGTCCCTATAAATTTCCAGAAGTACGATCATCATTTCAGAAAAACAATATCAAAATTAACAATCAAAGTAGAACCCTAAGCTACACGTAATGTAAAACAACAACCTGAAGTGTACTTCTGGCAGTAACAGCACTTTGACAGGATTGATACTGGATGAGAGCCTGAAAGCCTACACAATTTTTCAAACACAGGATGAAACAAATAGTAGAACACACACACACACTAAACATGCATAAATCAAATATAACAATAATCTTCATCCATAAAAATAAATGCAGTGGCACCTCCTCATATCTAATCATATGAAGTTGTATATTGTGCTGACAAAAAAGTGAAGCATTCCATGACACAGTAAAAACAAGAAACATAATTCCATTAATAATTCTATCATCTTCCTATTTATCTAAAAATAGAACGAAAAATATTTTTATATTTCAAAATAAATGATTGCCTGAACCAAATATGCCCACAATTCATCCAGTTAAAGCCCCAAATACAAAAGATTAATAGGAAAAGAAAGAAAGAGAAAGGAAGAAAACTGAGAGAATCTGACCAGCTGACTTCTGAAAGGTTACAATCTTTTCCACATATCCATGGGGAGAAAACACTTGTTGTAGTACATCCACTGTTATAGGATACAGCATGTGATGAACCGTAACTAAAAGAATTCGATTTGGCTGTGCATCCAGAGAGTCGCCAACAGTAGACAGCATAGAGAAGGAGAAGAGATAGAGAGAAAGGAGAATAAATAGAGAAGTTCATGATAAAGAGACAGAAAATACAGAACATAACAATTTACACTAAACCCATTACAATTGAAAGTCTAAGAACTAAGATAATAATATAAATGTTATAGGGGGAAACATCATATAAAAAATAAAAAGTACAAATTCCAAAAAAAAAAGGGCTGATCAATTCTCTGTTTTTCCAAAATCTACAAGTTGAGGAATATATTTTCCAATTAAAAAAAAATGCTAACCTCATCTTCTCGTCCTTGACTTTGATCCATTGTAGTTAATTCTTGATGTGAGGAAAACTGGACATAAACATTTCTCCCCCTAGAATGAAACAGAAAAGATAATTACAAAAAGTAGAGTGATTTCTTAAAATCAATGGGAACGAATCATGCTTTCCAAATCTCTAACTAGCATGTCCAGGATTAAGTTATCAAATATTGTTCAAGGCAATAATATAAAGATTTAAAAAAGAAATGAACAATCTATTTATAGTTTTATACCTTATGCTTGGCTGAACATTTGCATAAAATTGTAAAGCATTAACTGCAGAAGGAATATCTTGCATTTGGAGAAGAGCCTACAAAGACAACAGATTGTACAAATAAAAGAAAACAATAAAATCATTCAGCCTTAAATTCTAAGAATCTAAGGAAAACAGAAAGTTTCATTTGAAGGCAAGAAGAAAACCTGATTTTTGGCACGTAACATCACAAGCTTTGTTATGACTCCAAAAGGCTGAAATAGCTGAAGCAAATCATTCTGCATCCAGAAGAGTTAAAATTTATAAATCATTGAAGAGAATTGAAAACTCGGAGCTTAATGTGAGACAGAATTGTTCAACCAGCTCATCTTTTGTGTTCAGCCCACATCTTCTTTAAGCAGAGCTCACACCTGACATATCAAGAGGGAATCTAATTTGACTTAAGCAAGCACCCAAGCACTTTTAACATTATTGGATTTTTAAGGACATTCTAAGTTAGATTTTCTAGTGCTGTAGACTGTCCATTAATGCTTCTTTTTTTTTTTTAGTTTCTCTTTCACTTTTTGAGAAAATTGCCCATCCTTTATCTTGTTTCATCAGTCCTTAACAAATTCTTTTTTCTTTGGGGGAAAGAGAAATGATTTGAAGGATGTAAAGTACAAATAATTGGAACAATAGCAATTGCAGATTGATTCCTCTTAAAGAATAAAAATGATTTGTTTGCATGTCAGCAGCAATTCTACAAATCAATGTACTGCAATAGAACACCATTGCCTCTCCCTCTCACCCCAAGAAAAAGAGCAAACAGGAAAACATAACAGTGCTGATTGTTTACGTTCAAATACTTTATGCCCCAAGGAATATGGCGACTAGAACTTGAAATAGCAATTCATCCTTTAGAAGATGTTACTATAAACCCTCTTATAGCCATAAATACATACGTACCCTTGTATTTTACTCCTGAAAGGCAATTTTAGACTTTGGATTGTTATGGTGTGTATTGTTATTAGTTCTTCTTATCTATTCTCCTACCAAAGATAGATTTTTTTTTCTTGACCTTACACCCAAAACTCCCTCGAAAGATTATTGTTTCATTTGGACTGTGGTACTCAACAGATCGACAAATATATCTTGTTGCAGACTCCAATCCCACAAAAAGCACTTAATTCATATATGAGAATTATTTACACAAATTCTGTAACCAATGCCATTTGCTTTTGCATTTCCCTAGTGTATTTCTGGAATATTTAGAAAATACTAAGTTTATCTTCAGAATTTAAAGAAACGGTCATAGATTTTCTTTGGGGGTAGTAGGAATGTTCTTCCATTTGATAAGATAGAAACCGGAGTTGCCCCAAAAAATTTATCATGTCTATACTCCAAAATATAGAGGAAATATATATATATATATATATAGAGAGAGAGAGAGAGGCAACCGTGCAGTAATATTAAACAACTTGTGAAACTGGCTATGCAAAGCTTTAACAATTATGTATATTTATTTTGTTACCAGAATTTTCCCTACTGACATGATCTTGCAGCTTCCTTTTATAAATATAGTCATTAATGTTGAAGAGAACAAGCAACTTTGAAGTTGTTGAATAGTACCTTCTATTTTAGGAAATAGATCCCATAATTTTAGGGATTATGTATCTGTAATTTATTAGCTTGATTTGATTAAATTTGGTTTGACTTGTAGGTTCTTTGTTTCCCTTTTTAGTGATTTTAAATCCTATGTATAATGAATAGGGCTGGTGCCATTTCCTTAAACCATTCAGAACTCTCTTGTAACAGAAGTTAATACTATCCATCTTTGTTTTATATGCCCGTTAAATAAGATGGAAGGTTCAGTGGGCAAGAAATAGTCTATATATAGAATCCAGATTAGTGCTAACTAAAACTGTTACAATCAATAACAGAAACAGAAAATATAGAACTAATTACAAGCCGGGTCTAAAAAATTTACATCCTTTCCCGGACAAGAGTAAATATCACAGAAATCACCATTCAGGCCATAACAGAGCTAAAGCAAGTGCAACTGAGACATGGTAAAGTCATGATCATTATACAAAAACAAATGACAAGTACAAACACACACACACACACAAATATATATATATATATATATATATATATATATATATATATATATAGAGAGAGAGAGAGAGAGAGAGAGTTTACTTCAGATATCTCATGCCCCACATTTCGGACGTGAATGACCTTGGAAGGTTCAGCCATTGCAAATTACCTATAGAAATAGATAAAAGAAAGAAAAAATCATGATCAACAGTCAATAGCTCTTTTTCTTTTTTCGTTTTCTTTCTAATTTAAGAGTAGCATCAATGATCAAACCCCAACAGTTCTCTACTCACATTTGGGCATGCATTACAATGTTCACATCTGAAGCTCAACAACACTCCCCTCCTTCCCACAAAAAAAAGAAAAGAAAAGAAAAGAAAAATAAAAAAGCTACATAATATTCATCAATTCCAATTTCTTTTCAAAACCCAATTCACATTATATCAAGATTTTAATGGATAAAATCGTGGGGCTTTCTCAACCCAAGTGCAAATCGCATAAAAAGTCAAACTTCATCTCTTACTCAACCAAACACAAGAAAGATTCAGATACCCAATTCAAGACCTGAATCTACGAGTGAGTAGAACAAAGAGTGGTAAACAGAAATTGTCACACGGCAAAAGGGCATCTCCTATTTCCAACAACGAGCACAAATATTTCATCGAAATCTTGGCATCTTAGCACACACTACAAATCGAACAAAATGGGGAAAAAACACTGAGAAGCAGATACAGAGAGAAAAAGAAAGAAAGAGAACTTGCCTTAAGAAAGGGACTGAGAGACAGGAAGAGGAGAGAGAGAGAATATAGAGTTACGCAGAGGTGCTTCACATGATGTTGTGATTTTATTGCCCTATATACACATTAGACATTATTTAGCCCAAATCTAGGAACTGGCTAAAAAGTATTCTAATTTTTAATTTCTCAATTATTTTTTATACATCTAAGTAAAAGTAATTTCTATAAATTTTTAATAATATATATTATTCCTAAGCATTGTTTCGTAGTAATTCCAAACTTTATACTTTATAGGTTATATTATTATACAGACACGAGAAGATGGGAATTTAAAGAGTCTCAAGATGACATGGGTAGCAATAAGGTAACTAATTAATGATATGGAAAGGCATGGTTTTATGTTTTTAAATTAAAATATATATAAGTTGAGATTATTTCATTTATTTTAATTTTTGAAAAACACTGGAAAAACTCCAATATCACGTAAAGATCAAATATATACAAATCTACTGCCTCGTCCCTCAAATTTAAAAAGGTTTGATTGGGGTAAACTGTAATTCTGGGTTTCCTAGTATCCCTAGGGTTTTCTTTACGTTCTTATCATGCAACCGTCAACTTCTCGAGATCTAACATCGGAGGAGGTGGACAACCTTCAAAGAAGTAACAAAAAGTACAAGGGCGATGGTTCCTTCTCAAATAATATTTCGAGGGTTCCTAAAGATGAAACTTGGATGGATGGTCAGTCAAGTTTCAAGGAGATCCTTATGAGAAGTAATGGAGAACGGAGATCGGAGACCGATTCGGAAGAGGAGGATGATGCTGAGATGCTGCTGCAGGATGGGGCTGTAGATGAACGAAAAAAGGCTCTATCTTTGGAGGATGTCACTTTGGAGTTTCGCAAGGATGGTTCTCCGAACTTCAAGCTTTCGGACAGTTTCAAAAAGACAGCTTGGAAGCCATGGAAGAAATCGTTGATTGTCAAACTGCTAGGGAAAAAACTTTCAATAAATTTCATGAAGAAACACTTGGAGAATATGTGGGAAAGAGATGGGAAAATTCATGTTACAGACATTGAGAATGATTTTTTCTTAGTCAGGTTTGAAGCAAAAAAAAATATGAATTTTGTTTTAGCTGCTGGGCCATGGTTAATTTTTGATCATTATTCGTTCATCAGATCATGGGAGCCCGATTTTCAAGCGTTTAGCTCCCCCATTAGTAAGATCACTGCTTGGGTCCGTCTACCTGGGTTTCCTGTGGAATATATTAATACTCCCTTGATGCAGAGTGTTGGTAATTGGTTGGGGAAGTTCATTCGACTGGATGCAGCATCAACCAACCTGGCCAGGGGAAAATTTGCCAGGATTTGCGTAGAACTGGATATTAGCCAGCCACTAAAGTCTGTTTATTATGTAGAGGGAAGGTATAAGCAGGTGGAGTATAAAGGTCTTCATTTAATATGTTACAAGTGTGGGAAATATGGGCATAGAACAGAGCTTTTCCCCAATGCTCCAAAGGAACCTGTGACTGTGACCAATGGAGAGGTGTCTTTGAATAATACAATTCTGGATAGTATATGCAGCATGCTGGCATTCCTGTGGAGACTAATCAACCTAATTTCGGTCCTTGGATGGTAGTTTCGAGGAAAAAAACGGAAAACATGTGGAAAGGAAGTCCGATAATAGCATACAAAGAAGTAATGAAGAGAAGAATATTAAAATAGTTGTTGTAGCAAATAAACCTGAGACTACGGAAGAGGACCACAATACTGGTAAGTTGAGCACAGATAGGCTTGGGGGGGACAATCTACATGGGGTTCGTGATCTAGCCAAGAGTCCAGGTAAAGATAGGTAACATGGTGTTAATGAACGAGTTCAACTAATAGAGACTGAAACTGCTTTCAAGTTGGTGGGAGATGGTGTCGGGGATGCAATTATGGAGGTAAAGTCTACTCCAAAGGATACCATAGGAAGTTCTAAGAAGATACAGCACAGTATTAATAACAATTTGGGCTCGATTGATAATCCGTGTCATGAGAGTTCTGTTATGATGTATACTGATAATGTTGGGAACGAGAGTACGTTGGATGAATCTGCGAAGGTTCAGAAAATTTGTAGGGATCCATCCCTTAGTGTGATTGTGTTATCTTAAGATCCTAAGCCTCTGGATCCCAAGCCTAGTAAGACAGCTTCAGTTTCTAGCAGAAGTAAAGCATCATCTGGTCAGCGAGGAGCAGGGAAGTCTTTTTCCAGTAAATTGTCGCAGGTGCAATCCCACTCTGTAAAAATTCAAAAATCTTGTTGAAGTCTTTGCTATCTTGGAATTGTAGGGGTGCGGCCAAATCTAATTTGGGTCAAACTCTTAAAATGATAGTGGATAAACATGCCATTTGCATGGTGGTGCTAATGGAGACTCGGACCAGTAGCGTTAAGAGTAAAAGTTTGATGAAGAAACTTAGATTTGATCAGATTTTAGTTGAGGAAGCGGTGGGTTTTCCTGGTGGGATTTGGGCTATATGGGACTCCAACTGTGTTACGGTGCAAAGAATTTCCCAATCATCCTAGTTGTGGCATATAAAGGTTCTAATGAATAATTCTAGTGAATTTTTATGCACTGCTGTTTATGCTAGCCCCCGTGAAGTTGAAAGACATGTGATGTGGGATGATATTTCTCATATTAGTAACTCCATTAATGTTCCTTGGCTTATGTTAGGTGACTTCAATGAGATTAGAAGTAGTAATGAAAAGAAAGGAGGATTCTATCCTGATAGTGCAAGATGTAATCGGTTTTCTGATTTTCTTAATAGATGTCATGTGGAAGACTTAAACACTTCTGGTCCTCATTTTACTTGGCAGGGTCCAAAGTGGAATCATTTGGATAGAGTTTACAAAAAGCTTGATCGAGTTTGTGCGAATCAGAGATGGAGATTGTGTTTTGAGGAGGCTGAAGTTTGCGTGTTTCCCAGGATACTTTCGGATCATAGTCCTTTACTTGTGAATTTTTCTTCAAAATTTAAAGTGTGGCAGAAGAGGCCATTCCGCTTTATAGCTTCTTAGCTGGAGCATCCAAGTTTCGATGAGCTGATGCAAGAGAAATGGAATAAAAGAGAGGAGTTTGTGTCTATGATCAATCAATTTGTTCCTCATCTCCAACGGTGGAATAAAGAAGTTTTTGGTAACATCAATATGAGAAAGATGGATTTAACCCATAGAATTCAAGACGTTCAGAATTATAGATTTGCTAACGATTCTTCTCGGCTGCAAGATCTAGAACGTTATCTGCAAATGGAGTTAAATGTGACTTTGGATCAAGAAGAGTCTCTCTGGTTTCAAAAATCTCGTCATAACTGGATCGTGGATGGTGATAAGAACACTAAATTTTATCATTTGAAGACAGTGGTCCGCAGAAGTTGTAATAAAATAAATAGCCTGAGTAATGATACTAATTGTTGGCTTGAGGATCCCTCCCAGCTTAGGAATCATGTCTGTAGTTACTATAAAAGTCTGTTTACTGAAGAATCCCACAACCGTAAATGGTTAACATCTCCAAATTGTTGGTCAAATATTCCGTCTGATTTTAAGGAAAGATTGATCAAGTTCCTGGGTTGGAGGAAATTTCCAAAATTTCGTGTGAAATGGGGTCTTTTAAGGCTCCTGGTGATGATGGTTTTCCAACTATATTCTTTCAGCGGCAGTGGCCTTTCTTAAGGACTCAAATTTGTGATGTTATCAGTAAGATTTGGAGTAAGCCGGAGCTTGTTGCTGAGATTAATTCAACTCTTCTGGTCTTGATCCCGAAAACAAATTCTCCTAAGTTTATCTCTTAGTTTCGGCCGATCTCTTTATGCACTGTAGTTTACAAGATTTTGTCCAAGATCATTGTTGATAGGCTCAAACCAGTTATGGAGCTCATTATATCTCCTTTCCTGGTGATTTTTGTTCCGAATAGACAAATTCAGGATAATATTATTATTGTCCAGGAATTAATTCACTATATGCATAAGATGAAAGGGAGAAAAACTTTTATGGCTATCAAAATTGATTTGATCAAGGCTTATGACAGAGTTAGTTGGGATTTTTTGCATAGAACTTTAGAGGAAATTTCGCTTCATGTGCACACTGTCAACCTCATTATGAGCTGTGTTAAATCTTCCAAAATTAATGTTTTATAGAATGGTGGTAAAACTGAAGATTTCACTCTTTCTAGGGGTATCCGTCAAGGAGATCCCTTATCTCCATATCTATTTGTAATGGCCATAGAGAAGTTGACCTATATTATAAATACTGCTGTTAGTGGTGGTATCTTGAAACCTATGTATAACACCTCGTAATTCTAAATCAAATATTAAAATATTAAATGAGAATTAAAAGGAATAATTAGTGAAAATCTTGAAAAATAGGCCAAAATACAAAGAAATGGCAAAACGGTAATTAACCAACACGCAACCCTAGGCAGATAAAAATTGAGTAGAAGGTCTCAGATGATAAAAATAATCCTGGAAATGGATTCAGAACAAAAAAATCGAGTGGATAGGCAAGTTTCGAAAATTTTGATGAATAGTGATTTTTCCGGTGTAAAATATTGCGGTATAATTGTACGGATAAGCGTGAAAATATAATCAATATTTTTAGAAAGTAAAAATATGACGTGGACGAGAAAAATACGTAGGTTATGAATTAGTGATTTAAATTAGGTGATTGATTAAAGTTAAATCGCATGTGGGACCTATCTCACTTAAGTGGACCTTGCCACTTGGACAACACCACAAATGTGATTTTTCTCTCTCCTCCTTCCTCCTCCAAACCATGCTTGCCTTCCATGGAATGGGAGATTTGCTTCCAAAATTTCTTTTCCTCATAACTCCTTCAATACACCTCTGAATCAAGAAAAGTTTGTGAGCAAAGTTGTTGAAAATCATCATCCGAAAACAACCCACAGATTAGTTTCCCTTGAAACCCTCTCATTTTTTAGAAAAGGGCCAAAACCAGCCACGAAAATTGGAGGGATTTTTGTGATTTTGGAGTTGTGTGTTCAAGTCATTGCTTGGAGATCACTTGGAGGGGTCCTAGGCCAAGCTTGTGAGTATATTTCAACACCTCTCATGGATTAATTTGATGATTTATTTTCATGAACCCTAAAGAGGGCTTGGTTGATTGATGTGTTTAGAGAGCTTAAATGGAAAATGTTTGTACATGAATCTGTCTTAGAATGATCTGTAGTTTCCATAAATGCAATAAAAATTATTGATGAAAAATGTGAAATTTTAACTTAGAAAAATTTTAGGATGTCAAGACTGAGTTTTGAAAATGTGTTAGGATTGGATTAATGTGTTAGGATTGGATTGACGAGTTGTGGCGTGATTGCAGGTTGATATAATGGGATTGTATGATGTGTGAAGTGGTTAAATTGGATTGAAAATCTCTTGGAATTGCCTTGGTGCAATTCGGCCATGTAGAGGAAAAAGTAGGGAAATTGTGTTGAAAAATTATTTGAATGATGTGTTGTGTAATTAAATGGAAATTAGATGGGTTGTGTGGTGGTTGGAAAGTTAGAAAATCAACGAAAAAATAATTGGTAGTGTTTAGTGTTAAATTGTACATAGAGCAAAATATTAAGCAAAACGACGTTTAAAAGACGTAAAGTGAAAAACGGCACTTGATATGGTCTTTCGGTAACCTAAGGATGCCTAAGAAAATGATAAAGAAAAGTTAGAAAAATAAAATACAAAATTGCACCTTAATGGCCGAACCTACATGGTGTATGCGAGGATTTTTGACGTTTTCGTAATTTGATAGAATTGTCGTGTATTGATTGTTCGTACATGGTTGTTGTAGGTTGTCGTACGTTGAGTTGAATCCCAAACCATGAGTCGGTGGATTACCATTGGTCTTGGACAAGTGGGATTGAGGTAAGTGATTGGAACAATGCTTGAATAATTGTTAACTTGCATATGTTCGTATGAGTTTTAAGTGATTGGGAATGTCCTCTATGTAGGCATTTCATTTGAGTAACGAGCTCAGAGAATACACTACTTTGGAGCTAAGTGGAGAGGCTTATTAAGGTAACCTCTTGGTACTGGGGCTTGATCCCCTTGTGTGTTTCACCATGCTTGTTGAGGGTGATGGTAGGAAATGTATGTAAGTAATGTAGAACAGCATGATCATGCATATAGTATGTATGTTGGTACATAGGTACCGAGTCTCTGGCCAGTAGACAGTTTGCCTTCGGGCATTTTGGACTTCCACTGGATAGGTCTCCAAGAGGGAGTTCCAGTTGACCTAGGGTCGTGGTGTGTGATCCGGATAGGAGCACACTAGGAAGTCTCGGGTGTATACGGATGGGAGGGGTACCTTGGTTGGATGTTCTTGGAACACGCCTTGGATGAGACCCGTAGGCTTATATGCCAAGCCATTAGGCAGGGCGTTGCGTGGTATTGGTAGCTACCATTCCAGCTTCGTCGTAATTTATATTCCTATGATCCCCAGTTTCTCTAAATCCCTTGCTTTATCCTGTTTTTTAATATGTTGTTTTATATTATTTATATGCATCGAAGTGAGCCATTGGGCAGAGTATTCTCCAGAACCTCTGGGTTACTGAGATATATTCGTATATCTCACCCCGTCTTGGGGGCATTATTTCAGGAGGTAGCAGTGGCACAGGAGCGGCGGGCAAGAACCGTAGGATGAGTCGTGGGAGGACTTTATGCTTTTGCATTTTGATGGTTATTGGGCCTAGACTAGATTTAGGGCATGAACATGGTATTTATTTATAGGATGAGTTTATGTTCATATTTGTTCATGCTATTTTGCCTAAGTCTAGATACAAGTATTTTATAGCATTTGGAGATTTATGAATTAGGTTGTAATTGGATAATTGTAAAGATTGTATTTGGACCTTGTGTAATTTGAAGCATGTGTAATACGATGAAAGGGCAATAGGCCTATTTTAAGATTATGATTATATGTATGTTTAGAAAATGCATGTAAATAGACATTGGTGATTGAAATAAGTTAAGGAAAAATAAGGTGAGCAATTGAAAGTTTGAAATGGCCTTGAAGGCCGATGCATGCAAGAGGGAAAAACAAAATTTTTCTTTGCGGAACATACATGCACATCAAGATCATGCTTTAGGAAAGCATGATGTTACCTTGTTCGTGAAATCACCAGATGATCAAGGCAGGTCTGAAGGGTTCCGACCCTCTAATGTTGATCCACACCACCCACTCGTCTAGGTGCAAGAACTCCTTCTTGTGAAGCCACCAGATGATCACCACAAAGAGGCTTGCTGGGCGCTCTATGTGTGAAGATGGAGGCTAGGTGAAAGTGTTTGAAAGAGTGAAGCTCTCAATGTGAAAGCTTCACAAGTGGCGTAGGAGAAAGGAGAGAATAGGCTAGGCTTTTCAGAAAAACCCTTGGAGGAACAACTTATCACATAGGCGCATAAGATGAGAGTATTTAAAATAAAATACCGATCAGATTTTTTAGGCGCCAGATTGGAGAGAGAGAAGTGGAGCTGTTTAATTTCAAAAATTGCTAACAGGCTCCTGGAATATTCTCTTGAGAATTGGTTCAAAACCTATTCAAAATTCTGATCAGAAATCTTCATAAGATCAGCTATATGGTGCGCCCCATATAGCCCAAAAAGGTGACCAGATACATCTGAGTAGTTGCATTCAAATTTGAATCAACTCACTCAGATTTTCTCCCAACTGACTGAATCTTCTGAAGCTGATTTTGATGAGCAAATCTTGCTCACCAACAGCCCAAATCAGCGCCATATATAGCCTTGGATTATGTCCAAAAGATTCTCTCATGATACTAGTGATTTGTTCCAACAAGATCTCATCTTATCCTTTTGTTATGAAACAACCATTCATAGGCAATTCTAATTCGAATTCAAATATTTGAATTCAAACATTCAAACATTCAAATTCAAATGTTCAAACATTCAAAATTCAAATTCAAATTCAAAGTTCAAATTTCAAAATTCAAAATTCAAATTTCAAAATTCGAATTCAAAATTCAAATTCAAAATTCAAAATTCAAAATTCAAATTTCAAATTTTAAATTCAAATTTTGAAATTCCAATTCAAAATTCGAAATTTCAAAATTCAAATTTCGAATTCCAAAATTCAAAATTTAAATGTTTGATAATTAATTTAACTAATTAAATTAATTAGTAATGTCTTGGACTATCCAAGCCCATTACAATGATCCATGCGCCCTCCACCCCTTTAGGTGGAGTTCCAAACAACTTCTTTGGCTAATAATTATTATTAGGCCCTATATCTTTAATGCTAGAGCATCTAGACAATTAGGTGTTTGTGTGTGACCCATTAGGTCCAACTTAGCCACTGACATAAATGGGCTTGGGCCCAATAAGCCCACAACCCATCTAATGACAACACAGAGCACTAGCAATGCTTTGTTGCCCCAGAACTAGTTAGATTAATGATTTGATCATCCTATTAAACATATTTGGTTGCCGTATGTTTGTCCCTTCGTCTCGGTTACCTTCCCATAAAACCTAGGGTAAGGAAACGCATCAACCCTTGCAGTTTAGGGTTAGCTTTATATGAAATAAGGAGTCTTCAATTTACTGACTCTAAAGGCGGATCATCTTATGATCTCTTTTACTATGCATAAATTACCGAGTCACTGTAAATGTCATCCTGATTTCTCCGGTTTAAGGATAACCTAATCTCTCACAGAGATTTGACGAATTCCTTCAGCTTATCACCTTAGCCCTGTGCCCTATCAGGATAAGCCCAAGAGCATACCTAGGAGTCTCCATGTTTCAGGCAGACGAGGTATACAGTCAAAGCATGCCTTCTAGAACACAGTCTAAGTGATAACTTTTGGTCTAAGGAAAGACATACCCAAATATGAAGAGACTACTCTAATGATACTATCTGTGAGATTTCCTCATAGAGTCTCTTTGTGGGTCCGTTCAGTGCGAGCTACACCCTTATAGATCCACCCACGACTTTAGCTAAGACATCTCCATATCTGTAGCACATGAGGTCTATACCTTGTATCCATATACAAGTAGATAAGTCGTGCTAGTCTTACCCGAGATTACTGACCCCATTCTCAGTATCTCTAGACTAGGAACATAAAATTAGGAATAAACATCTGGTATTCTTGAATCCTCATGATTGTGATCTCATCACAGATACTCAAGAGATACCTATTTTATTCCACGGGGTTTATCAAGTTATTCATAATATATTAACATTAATATCGAGACGGAATTATGAGACAAGATAAAGAGTGCTTTTATTTATTCGCAACAATATTAAAAAGGTCTACATCTCTGTACTTATTTAATCATAAGATTATCTCTAGGACACCCAAATACTAACAGCAATATGGTATGAATTGTGTAATAACTATAAACTGAGTTGGGTTGTAAGTGCCCCAAGGCATTGTTGGTCCTTGTGTGTGCCACCCATTGGTTATTAGGTACATTTGAGGTATTAGAAAGAAAAATATGACATGAACAAGAAAAATACGTAGGTCATGAATTTGTGGTTGAAATTAGATGATTGATTAAAGTTAAAATGCGTGTGGGACCCGCCTGTGACTTAAGTGAGTCAAACTCACCTTTTCTTCACACTTTCTCTCTCCTCCCCTCCTTCTTCTTCACGGTGACAGCCCCTCCATCCCCTTTATTGTGCAAAAATTTGATTTCATCATAACTTAGTCGTTTCTCCACCGAATCCATCGATTCTTGTCTTGAAATTCAATGGAAATCATCATCCGAACCCGTTCCACCGATTAGTTTCCCTTGAAACCCTCTCTTTGGTGAGTTATTGCCCATTTACAGCTGCGAATTTTTGGAGAAATTTGAGGTTCATGGAGTCATTTGAGCTTCCATTGTTTGGAGGAGTCTTGGGGTAGCATCAAGCCTTGGTTGTGAGTATATTTCCATCCCATTTACATGGTTTGATTGTAGTTTATTTTCATGAACCCTACACCTTGATTTCGTGATTGGTGATGTTAGAGAGCTCAATTGGAAAATGTGTATTAGATGATAATGTCTTAGAATGATGTGTGAGAGCTAGAAATGCCATGAAAATTATTGATGAAAATTATGAAAATTTAACTTAGAAATTTTGAGGAATGTCATGACTTTGTGTTTTGGAATTTTGTTGGGAATTAATTAATGAGTTGTTGTATGATTATATGATGATATAATGTGGTTGTGTGAGGTGTGGAGTGATTAAAAGTGAATGGAAATCCTAGAATTGCCCTAGGTTACAACTTGGCCTTTAAAGGAAAATTAAGGAATTGATGTTGAAAAATGAATTGGATGATGATTTGTGTAGTTATATAGTGCTTAGATGGGTTGTGTTGTGGTTGGAAAGTGTTTGAATCAATGGGAAAAAATGAATTGTGTTTAGAGACCTAAATGAGCCTAAAGTGAAATATTTCGCAAAACGATGCGTAAATGTCATAAAACGGAAAAACGACGATTGAACTAGCCTCTAAGCAACCTAAGGAAGTGTTATAAAATGAGAAAGAAAATTTAGAAAAATAAATCCCCAAATAACACCTATATGGCCGAACCTCCAAGGAGAAAAGGGGGGATTTTGCGATTTTCGCGTTCTGATGTAATCCGACGCGAAAATGACGAACCAGCACTTGAATTGGCCTATTGACAACCTAATGAGGCGTAACAAAATGAGAAAGAAAATTTAGAAAAATAAATCTCAAATTTACACTTGAATGGCCGAACCATCAAGGGAGGATGGAGAGGATTTTTGTGATTTTGCATTTTGATGTTATTTGACGCGTACTGATGGATGTACGTAATTGTATAGGTTGCCGTACGTTGACTTGAATTCCGAATCTTGATTCAGTGAGTTGCCATTGGTCTTGGACCAAGTGGATTGAGGTAAGTAATTGGTGCAATGCATGTGTAATTGTAAAGTAGCATGTATTGTTTGAATTGTGAGTGATTAGGAATGTCCTCTGTGTAGGCATTCTGCTGTGTACCAAGTGGAGGGATAAGCTGCTGCGGAGCTTGTGGAAACAATATTTCAGGTAACCTCTTGGTACTGGGGCTTGTTCCCCTTTTCTGTTCCACCTTGCCAGTTGATGGCAACGGTATGAAGTGTGTATGAGTAGTATAGAACACATGAGCATGCATGCATTATTACAATGGGTACTTATGTACCGAGTCTCTGGCTAGTAGACAGTTTTATTAGCCTTCGGGCATTTTCGGACTTCCGCTGGATAGGTCTCCAGGAGGGAGTTCCAGTTGACTGCGTGTCATGGTGTGTGATCCGGGTAGGAGCACACTAGGAATGTCTTTGGCGTTTTGGTTGGTTTGGGCATCATGGTTGTGGTTTCTGTGAACACACCTTGGATGATACCCATAGGCTTATATATGCCCAGGGCGTACGTGGAATTGGGGTTACCATCCCGTATCGTCGTAGTTTGTTTCTTTATATTCCTCATTTCTCTAAATCCCTTGCTATATCCCATTTTCAAAGTGGTTGTTTTATTCTATTGATATGCATCAAAGTGAACTATTGGGTGGAGTTTTCTCCAGAACCTCTTGGTTACTGAGATATATTCGTATATCTCACCCTGTCTCGGGGAATTTATTTCAGGATGTACCTGTAGCGTTGGAGCAGCGGGTAAGAGGCCCGCAGGGTGATAGAGGAACATTTTCAGTATTTGGCATATTGTTCATGTTGGCATGCCTAGGTCTAGCAGTTTGTATCATTTAAATTTATGTCTAAATTTGTAATTGGTGTTGTAATATTGTAAAAGGCAATTTGAAGTAAAGTCGTAAGTTGTAATATTTAAGTGTATGTTGTAAATGTAATAGAGGCATGATGTAAAAGATGGAAGGATTTTAGGCCTATGTTAGAGTTATGATTACATGATTATATTGTGAAACTACATGTGAATGGGACCTATGTGATTGAAACAAGAAATATAATGTGAGCTCTATTGTATAAACTGTGTAATAACTATAAACTGGATTGGGTTGTAAGTGCCCCAAGGCGTTGTTGGTCCTTGTGTGTGCCACCCATTGGATTATTACTGTATTATCATGTGTTTATTAGGTACATTTGAGGTTTAAATGATCGTTTACAATTTTGGGATTATTGGAAAAACAAAGGAAACTCTGGCAAAATTTCTGTAGAATTGGCAGATTTTAGGCGAACTTCGGGAGAGCATATATCCCTCCATAGAGGTCCAATAGGGACGTGCCATACGCCATTTTGAAGGTTGAGATATCCCCTATCTTGTGTAAAATTTTTAGGAAAAACTGGGTTGATCTTCAGCCTGAAAAAATAGAGAAACATGGACTGCTCATGTGCCCCTGCACCTGAGGCAGATTCTGGACCGGATTTGGGAAATTAATTCCCGCTTCTTTTCTCAGTCAAATTAAGCGTGCAATATATAAAAATGAAGTTTTAGATGTCTAGTATGTAGGATAAAAATTTGAGAGCAAATGGTTGAATAGATCGAGTGCAGTAAATCGAGAAAGGTGAGTGGTTCGGAGCTGTTTTTGGGGTTGTTTGGCTATTTGCTGATCCAACTTCAAACGGCGATAACAGGAGCAAATGAGCTCCGAATTGAGCATATGATAGCTTGTAGAAAAGAGAATTAAGTAAGACAAAGATATAATCTGTGAAGCAGGTTTGGTTGAGATCGTTTTGGTCGCAGAAAAATTAAGAGTGAAACATGTCCGAATAGGTAAAAACGTAAAGTTTGGGAATTGGCTAAGTGGGTTTATGGGAACCCCTTAGTCACTTATAATAAGTAAAGTAAGTTATACAAATAGTTTAAATAAGTCTTCCGCAAGATTTTACGGTTACGGTCACAGCTTTTAATTATTACGCCTTTTTATGTTTTAAATGCTCGCGTAATAATCGGAAAAAGTTTATTCGCATTTTTATAAATGAATTGCTGTGATTGTAACTGCGCTTAATATCATATTAATGTTAACAATACCGGTACGTAACGGGCTGTTACACCCCAAGGCATTGTTGGTCCTTGTGTGTGCCACCCATTGGTTGTTAGGTACATTTGAGGTATTAGAAAGCATTTGCAAACTTGGGAATTTTTGTAAAAACAAAGGAAACTCTGACGAATTTTCTGTAGAATTGGCAGAATTTAGGCGAACTTCGGGAGAACATATCTCCCTCCACAGAGGTCCGATAGGAACGTATCATACGTCATTTTAAAGCTTGAGATGTCCTCTACATTTTGTTAAAATTTGATAACTTTCTGGGTTACATGCAGCCCTGTAGAAGCCTATGAACACGGACTGTCCAGAACGCACCTGTGCAGGGGCTGTTTCTGGCAGTTTTTGGGAAATTAATTCCCGCTTCGTTTCTCAGTCAAATTAAGTGTATGATATGTCAAATTGAAAGTTGAGGTGTCTAGTTAGTTGTATAAAAATTTGATAGCAATTGGTAGATTGGATTTTGTGCAGTAATTCGTGGAGTGAAGGATGTTTGGAGCTGTTTTGGGGTTGATTGGCAGTTTTGCTTGTCCAACTTCAAACGGTGATATCCGGAGAAAACGAGATCGAAATGACTCATGTGATGGCTCATTGGAAAGGTATTTAAGTAAGAAAAAAATATAGCTAAAGATGAAGGACTGGTTTTGTGCGGTGTGTCCGCAGAAAAATAATAACCGAACCATGTTCGGAAGGGTAGAAAACGTAAAAGTGAGAATTATGCTAAGTGGGTTTATGGGAACCCCTTAGTGACTTGTAATAAGTAAAATAAGTTAAAAAAGTAGTTTAATTAAGTATTCCGCAAAGAGTTTACAGTTATGGTCATAACTTTTAATTATTACGCTTTTTATTGTTTTAAATGCTTGTGTAATAACGAAAAAAGTTTACTCGCATTTTTATAAATGAATTGTTGTGATTGTAACTGCGCTTAATATCTTAATTAATGTTAACAATACCGGTGTACAACGGGCTGTTACACTATCAGGGTTGGTAATGATGGTCCTCAAATCTCACATCTAGCATTTGCAGATGATTTGATTATTTTCATGGAGGCTAAGGAGGAGTAACTCGATGTCCTTTTAAAATGTCTGTCTTTATTTGAAGAAATTTCAGGTGAAAAATTGAGTGTTGAAAAAACTAGTGTTTTCTTTTCAAGAAATATGCCAGAGGATATGCATCAAAGGATTTCTGAGAAAAGTGGCTTTAAATATGTGAAGATTGTGGGTAGATATCTGGGGACTATGATGCAACATGGTAGGGTCTCAAAAAATTCTTACTCAGGAATTGTTGATAAGATTAGAGCGAAACTTAATGCGTGGAATCAACAAAGTTTGTCGCAAGCTGGTAGGATCACCTTGGCTCAATATGTCATGTCTGTTGTTCCTTACTTTCAGATGCAAAGTTGCAAGATTCCTTCTTCAATTTGTTTAGAGATTGAGAAAGTTCAAAGAGGTTTCATCTAGGGTGATAGGGAGGATCATAGGAAGCATCATTTGATTAGCTGGAATACTATTACTCTTCCTAAAATGTATGGTGGTCTTGGATTTAAGAAGTTGGAGATTATGAATGATTCTTTTCTTGCCAAACTAGTTTGGAATTATGTGAATAAACCTAACCATCTTTGGTCTCGGGTTCTCCACGCTAAGTATGGTGCTTGTAGAAACCGTGGTGGCCCTTTTGTAGCGCGGGGTGGTGATTCCAATCTTTGGCAGAATATTTTCTGAATTTGGTATATTATGGAAGATTGGCTTATTTGGGAAGTTGGGGATGGTAAGAGTATTAGTTTCTGGTATGATAGATGGTTTCCTCAAGCTTCTAGGCTCCAGGAGTGTGCCACGAGGAGTATTTCCTCAAGGGAAGCAGACGTGAAGGTGGCGGGTATGGTTAAGCATAATGGTGAGTGGGATTTGGCTTCTATGTCTGAGTTCCTTCCAGCTGATATTGTCGACAGTTTCCGTAGTGTGCTTCCTCCTTCTGACGCTGATGGCTCGGACTAGAAAGTTTGGAACCTGCATGGCTCGAATTTCTTTTCGGTGAAAGCAGTTTATGATATGTTAACAAGCCATCATAGAAGTGAAGATGTTGATAATTCTAAGTGGTCTTTACTATGGAAGTGGAAGGGTCCTCAAAAGATTAAAATTCTAATGTGGAAAATTTTGCATGGGAGACTTCTTACAAAGTGCAGAATTGCAGCCTGGGGTAATGGTGATGATGTGTGCTCTGTGTGTAATGTGGAGAGGGAATCAGTCCTTCATGCTCTTAGGGACTGTCGAGAAGTGAAACCTTTGTGGTCTTATTTTATGCCTAGCTCGCAGTATGATGAGTTCTTTTCTGGTAGTTTGGAGCAGTGGCTTTTATTGAACATTTCAAATTAGAATTATAGTAGATTTCGTGAGAATTGGATCACTTTATTTTTCATTTTGTGTTGGAAAATTTGGATTGGAGAAATGATGTTACTCATGGGGCCAATGTTTTTTCAATCAGTATGAAAGTTCTTCTGGTGCAGAATCTGTTTAAAGATGTTTTAGATTCATTCACTCACACGAAAAATAATCTTGCTGAGAGGAGCACTATGGTTATTAATATTGCTTGGCAATTCCCTATTTCAGATTTTATTAAGGTGAATACAGATGGTGTTGCGCGAGGGAATCCTGGTCTTGCTGCTTGTGGGGGAGTTATTCGTAATTCTTAACGTCTTTGGTTGGGTGGCTTAGCTTTCAAATTGGGTACTTGTTCTTCTTTTAAGGCTGAGCTGTGGGGTGTTTTACGGGGTTTAGAGATGGCTTGGAACGTTGGGTTCCGCAAAGTTGTGATTGAGAGTGATTCATCTAGTGTGGTCACTGTGCTCACCAGAAGTGGTGCAACAGTCCGTGAAAATCAGTTGATTTCTCGTATACGGACTTGGTTGGATAGAAGCTGGTCTGTTTTTGTTCAGCACACTTTAAGGGAAGCAAATACTTGTGCAGATTGGTTAGCAAACTTTATTATTGATCATGGTAATCAGGATGACCGATTAGTGTGGGGGGAGCCTCCTCCTGGACTAATCCCGCTTCTTAATGCTAATATGGCGAGTGTGGGAAGACCTCGTGTCTTAGGTTGTAATTCGTAGTTTTTTCTGGTTTTGTTTTTGTTGTTTTGGGGGCTTAATCCTCCTTTTCCTTACAAAAAAAAAAGGTTTTATTGGGATTTGATAAACTTGAACAAAAAGAATTAGGGCAATCCATCATGTTGAGTATTTCCTTTGAAAATGACTTATTTTAGTGAAAACAAAACAAAACAAAATTATATTGTTAACATTATCTGATGAAACAATCTATAATTTCTTATATTTCATATATTCTTGCCAATTGAACCAACTTTTGCTATTTATTTATTTTTAAGAATTACTAATACGTTGAGTTATATGAATTCTCTTCTAAAATTAAAATTATACCTCGATAGCAGATTACTTTTACAAATTTTTTTATTTACAATTTTTACAACCTCAGTTATGTACTCCGGGAAGTACACTCTTAAGTAATTCTACTCCTCGGATTACGTAGTTGAGGTTGTAAGAGTTATAAACAAAAAAAAGTTATAAACGTAACACTTCCCTATCCCGGAAGAGAAAGTTATTGCAGAAGCAATTGCATCTGCGAAAGCGTTTAAGACCATTGTGATTTGGATGTATAGGATCATCATAGTTTTATCATTACCTCTTGTAGCTCAGATTCGAGATGATGTTCCACGAACTAGAGTCCTTTGCGTCACAGCACGAACTCACGAACTGATCTCCTCAGCGTCGCAGTACGAACAGCCTCCTTGAAACTGGACTGTGGCAGATCTTCCAGACTATGTCTCAGGGGAAAATGGAAAGTGTGTGGGCACTCTCTCACTTTCAGGGAGATGACCTTACCTCAGCCTCTGCAACCACAAAGTGAAGACTTGAGAGGCTGATGACTATAAGTGTAGAATATATATGGGTTCCAGGAAACCCTAGCCCTAAGCAGAATGGGCTTTAGGTTTCTTGGGCTCTTCTTACACACTAGACCATATTGGGCTTTAGTGAAAGAGCAAGTCCAACAATCTCCCACTTGCTCTTAAGTACAAACTTGAGCCCAAAGTCCAAGTACATGTATCCCACTAGTTGTCATCAACTGAAAATTATCTCATCCTTTTCTTGAGCTAGTCTGGGGATCTACCATCTGTTATTAAACAAGGCTCTTGATAATCAACGAATGATTATCTAATTCGGTGCTATTCCACTAAAAGCCCGAACTTGAACTCCAAGATTAATAACACTTATAACACGAATATGCATCGCCCCTTTGTAGAATGTCTATAATTGATTGACAAGTTTTCTATAACTCAATCAATTATTTATTCCATTGACTATGCTAGTTTCTCTAATGGATTACATGCACTGGCCAGTGTCTTTAATATCCAAGTACCGAAACATATCAAGGGGACATATCCTACAAATTCCATGTTGTTTATCTCATAAATACCGATAATCAAATAATCTCACTCTTAAAATACCGAGTTATTGGCTATCAATAGATCGAACCTCACCCGTTGGTAAATCAAAGAATGAAAACTATTTGATTACCTATTTATAATAAACTCAGGATTAAGAGTAATTACATAACTATGGTTAACTGGAGATTTGATACCTTAAGACAGAAAAACAACCTTAATCAAATCTCTCATTGATCCTTTCAATATAAATGTTAATCCACACCAATATTTTACAATGATTTGGACAAAACCATTTCATAAAATATTGCAGCCCAAATAAAGTGCCCAACTTTATTTAACAGCTGTGAATCTATTAATTAATTGTGAGAACCTATGATCATGTCCTTAATGAACGTATACATATGATCATATACTCCACAATTGATCCGGACCTTGATATTTGTAAATGGTGTGCAAAATAAATAAATAAAACCTTATTTATGAAATTCAGAAAATGATTTCATTGTTTCATTGTCTTACTCTAAGAGCACAATGAAATCAATAATTCCCACTCGCTTAAAGCAAGTCTGGGATCCTCTTAAGATCCAAAGAAGTAGCATGCCTCTTGAACACAAGTTCAGGCAAACTCTTAGTAACTGGGTCTACAAGATCCACCTTTATTTCTATCCTAGTTGAGTAAAACTCATAGCTCGAGGTTCTTTTTTTGAGTCAATATCCACTTGAAATAACTGAATTTATGAAAACTTAGCTTTTCAAAACTCCCACTAGAATATTCCAGCATATAATCCCTCGTTCTCCAAAGATACTTGAGTACATGCTTAACAATAATCTTAGTGTTCCTCTATATCCAGAATGGTACCGTCTCACTACTCCCACTGCGTGACAGATGTCTGGTTTAACGCCCAACATGATATGCATAAGATTACCTTTGCCAAAGCATAAGATATCCTGCTCATGCATTCTTCCTTCTCAGGTGTCTTTGGTTACTCCTTAGGAAGATGAATTCCACATCTGAGAATTATAATTCTTCTCTTAGAATTCTCATGTTGAATTTTGACAAGAGTTTTGTCAATGTAAGTAGCCTAAGGTGATGCCAACAACTTATTCTTTCGGTCTCATAAGAGTTTTATACCAAGAATATAATTGGCTTGCCCAGTACTTCCATACTAAAACACTAACTTAACCAACTCTTTATGCTTGATTTTACCTCCACGTTGTTTCCAATAAGGAGCATATCATCTACATAAAGTACCAGAAAAGCTACTATTTTTCGTTGGATCTTTTGCATACAAATACACATCATTCATCAAGGTTCTCTCAAAATCAAAATTTTGATAACTTGATCAAAACAGATGTTCTAAGACCTCGATGTTTGCTTAAGTCCATGAAATAGACTTTCACAACTTGCATACCGTGTGTTCCTGCCCATTTGCTATAAATTGTTTTGGTTGTTATATGTAGATATCCTGACATCCAACTCCCAAAATGAAATATCATAATTTAGACTTATAACAGCAACTAAGAGAATCTGGATAGACTCAAGCATGACGTCTTGCAAAATTGCCTCCAAGCTAGTTTTGAAGGTTTTTACCTTCTTGTCTATCCTCTCTTTGCATTTATAGGTCCACATGCACCTAATGGGTTTTACCCCTCTTGATGCCTTTCCTAGGTATCTAATAGAGTTGAAATACAAGTATTCCATCTCATGGTTTATAGCTTGAGCAAACTTGATCAATAAAATCTTCTAGTGCATTATCATAACTAGTAGGATCAATGACACTCGATAAGAGACAACTTGAGAGCTAATAAGGTTCTCTCCCACTACGAATGTTCTGCACTAGACCTTGTGTATTTATAGGTAGATCAAAGATTGGGTCAAATGGTGGATCTTCAATTTCTTGAGGATCCATTTATTCTTGATATTGTTCTTCCACATGTGATACTAATATTTCTACTAGTTTCACTTATATATTATCATGTTGACTTTCCAATTATGGTTCCGTTGTTCGTTCACCTAGAGATATATTTTTCCCCTCTTTGAACAATCAAGGGAACAACGAATGAAGCTTCTAGAGATTCTGGAAATTCTTGATATGAGATAAGTCTCTTCAAGAATAACCTTACTTAAGAGCTTATAATTTCTCATCTAGTCCTCCTTTAAGAAAATCAAGTGAGTGTTAATACCACCCACTTAGATCATCTTGTCCTTAGGACTAAATAAGATCTCATCCCTGGTTCTCTTAGGGTAACCAAAAGATATGCACTCTTCTGTATAAGATTCCATCTTATTTGACTGCTGTTGTAGGACGTATGCCATAGCACCCTAAATCCGAATATGGATTGATCTGGGCCTACACCCTTTCCATAGTTTTTTATGTGTCTTTACAACAAACTTTGGCGGAACCAAGTTAAGAAGCTACATTGTAACACCCCATGTATGCCCGGTTTGTTAACATGTCATCGTATTAAGCCACGCTTAATTAAATTTGTGGAATATCTTTTTCTTTTCAATGATGACGTCATTAAACTTAGCCAAGTTGATTACTTAATCAATTTCTTTAAAAACAACGCTTGTATGTAAATTGCAAAGGACAGCTAACTGAAATACCTCAATATATAAGCAACTGTGAGTATCTAAAATCACGGAACTACAACACGTAGTCCGGACATAATCCTGATACATTATTACAACTCGAAGCTAAAGTAAGACATAGTCAAGCAGTGTGGCATGGACAATCCCCATGCTCACCAAATAAGGTAACATAGCTAAACAAGGTCTCAACAATAATAACAACATAATCATAAAGCTAACAGCAAATAGCAACAGGCAAAATCCATCATCCAACATAATCAGCATAACAACATATAAATCAGTTAAGCTCCGACCTCCTGCCGTTGGAGGTCTCAACCCCCGCTTTACCTGAACCTGAAATAAGCGCCCCAAACGTGGGGTGAGATCTCTAAACAGAAATCTCAGTAAGACAAGGGGTCCTCAAGGATCTTCCACCCCAAGCTCACTTACATGTGCAATATAAGTTTCAAAAATAGTTAAACAGTATAAGTTCCAAAACAGTGCAATGCAGCAGATAATCATGTCATGTGTGTTATAACAATTCTACTGATCAAAGAAGTGCAGGAATACGTCTATTACCCACATAGTACATGCACATGCTGTACTTGCCCACTGGACCACCCCATGGCTTCCTGTCTAGGCGAAACACTACATACATATCATAAAGCAATTGCACTTAATAGCTCATAAGCATTTCAATAAAAAAAGTACATGAAAACACATCATGCATATAACCATCCCCCCATGGGACATGGTGGAACAAACAATGGCTAAACCGAGGACACGAAAGCTTACCTTGCAAGCTAACTATCCAAGCCAAGAGTCCACACTAGCTCAAAGCCCACAAACAGCACAATCACAATCTGTTTATACAGTAAATAATCATCAATAACCATTTACCAAGGTTACATTAAGTGATTAAGGCTTTCCATCTCATTTCAAGTCATTTTATGTTGTTTCTGCAGGAGGTACTTGAATACTCCTCGATGAGTATTCGAATACTCTTTGTCTCCAGAAAGTATCCGAATACTTTCACTAAAGTATTCGAATACCACAAGGTATTCGAATACCAACACCCC